TTAATTGAAAACAAGAATCTCGTGAACTTTCCTGCCCAGGCTGGCTTTGAACCAGTTCTCGGCATCCTGCTAAGGTTATAAGCAAAAGCCACTGGTGCCTAGTAAGAACAGGGAATCTCATGTTTTCAAAGTCATTGAATGGTTCAAATCACAGTCCTCAAATCAGAAAAACTACTCATTGTCCATAATCAGGAGCATGGTTCCCAGAGCCACCGGGTACTCATTCCCTCCCCTGCAACCCTGCAACCCAGGGGTCAGGAAACGTCTGCAGCTTTTGCCACAATTATCTCTCATGCCCTTCCTGGGAACCAAGGCACTGAAGCTGCTGTAGAGATCTTCCTCTCCTCACCAGAGCTGGCCAGCAGAATTCAGCCCAAGCACCAGGAGGCCAGGTTCCTCTTCCCTTCTACCTTCAGTCTATCCCAGCATGTCTCACTGATGGCACCTGATTGTATGCAAAGTGCCAGCTGCCAGGGAGTGTTAGAAATGTAGGGTTTTTTTTTTTTTTTGGTCTTGTTTTGTTTTTTCCTAATATCAGTGCTGGAGCTTGAAATTAGGGCCTAGGTGCTGTTTCTGAGCTTTTTCACTCAAGGCTGATGCTCTACCAAGCCACAGCTCCATGTCTGACTTTTTGCTGGTTAATTGGAGATAAGAATTTCTTAGCCTCAAGCCACAGTCCTCAGAACTCAACCTCCTGAGTAACTAGGGATTACAGGCGTGAGCTATGGGCACCCAACTGGAAATGTAGTTTTTAGCTTTCAAGGTTCTGCAATATAGGAAGGCATGCTGGGAGGAGCTGGGGATGGCTACTGAGGGCCATCCACATTTTCCAGTTACCAGATAAATGTGTTACTAGATGATGATGAGTTAGAGGCTTGGCCCAGTGCTCAGCACACAGAGCCCACTCAGTAAATTCCAGTTGTCATTCTCATTCTTCTCTTGGTAGGCACGTCAATGAGCTCTGTTCCGTCATTCTGCCACAAACTGTGGCTGTGGCAGGAGCAGTAGAAACGCTTTGATCTAGGTGGCGCTGTCCATGGTTCTGAGAAGCCAGCACAGACCGATTACCCAGTTCACACAGTCCCCCTGGGGCAAGTCCCTTGATCCTGCACCCCATAGCTTCAAAACCAGCAGGGAACTGAGGGAGATAGAAAGTGGGAGAATAAAAGGGCCGGCCTTGAGGGCTGTTACTGCAACTAGATGTAAGGGTCACCGAGCTACCATCCTTTATCCCCAAACCTTCACCCTCTCTCCTTAACTTTGGTTCTTTGAGAACTCCTTGTTGCAAATAACTCCAGGATGATATGGGTCTCCATGTTGACCACACAAAATAACTGGAGATTTTCTTTTATTTTTTTCAGGATTTGGGTTTGAACTCAGGCTTTATGCTTGCTAGGCAGGTGCTCTATCACTTGAACCACGCCCCTATCTCTTTATGTTTTCCAGTCATTTTTGTCAGATAGGGCCTCCCATTTTTGCCTGGCACTGGCCTTGGACTACAATCTTCCTACCTCTGTTTCCCATACAGTGGACACATATGACATTGTAGATACATAACATCCACACCTAGCTTGTTTTTGTTTTTGGGTTCTTTTGGTGTGTGTGTGTGTGTGTGTGTGTGTGTGTGTGTGTGTGTGTTTAAGGTGACAAAGGAGTCTTATTAGTTGGTCTGCAACCCTGTCCCAGGAGCAGCCACAACCTCCAAGGGGGCAATTTGTTTTGTTTTGTTTTTTAGATGAAACCTTAATTTTTTTTTCCCCATCTGGCCTTAAACCACAATCCTCTTATCTCTGTCTTCCAGGCAGCTGGGACTGTAGGTATCGGCCATGTGTCCAGATGAGATTCTCATTCTTTATTTCTGGCTTGGGTTATGAGGATCTTTATCTACTAGATGCCTCCGAGCTGATTCAGAACCCTCTGCCCTAGGAGGAGAGGTCACTGGGAGCACTGGATAAGGAGCCAGAAACTCCATTCTCCACTCACATCCACCCTTTCCCAGACTTAGACAACATCTTTTAATAGATCAAGTTGAGCAAGCTACCATGATTGTGAAGGTTCTGAGGAGATGGAGGGAAGCTTAGAACAAGGAGAGGCTCTCCGATCCTCAGAGGAAAATTCACAGCCAGCTGACAAGGCATGTGTGCAAGTCCATGAACCAGAGTCCTTCATTCCAGTGACTCCCCCTGCCTTCCCTCCCCTCCACAGGCCCCCTAGCGGTGGGAGGGAACCTAAGCCATTGAGCTGTCTTCTGAAAGCAGTTTCTTTTTCCTTTTCTTATTTTTTTTTTTTATTTTAGTTTAAATATTGGTTTCATTACTTTGAAAAAAACTTTATTGTGAAGGTGATCTACAGAGGGGTTACAGTCACATAAGTCAGGTATTGAGGACATCTTTTTGAACAGTGCCACCCCCTCCAGTTTCTTTGCTGAGTCTTGAACCGTGAGAGAACCTGCTAACAGAAAGGAAATGCATTATTGAAGCGAAGCGAAGGCCGGATGGGAGGAGCAGGGGCTATGGCTTTGTGCGTTCTGGGGAAGGGGCTCCCCACCTGCACGATCTTCTCCTGGGATGTGGCTTCATCTAAACCACAAATGCAGGCCTTTGGGGCTGCTTGCTATGATGTTATGGGGGTGGTGGGCTGACTGGGTATTGCTGGGAGTTGCAGCCTGGTGACTATAAGATTAGCTCCCACCCCTGTGCTTGCTTCCGCTGCATTGCTTTGAAAGCCTGGGAGGACTTTGTGACCTTGGACTCAGACTCCAACTCCTTTCCCTGCCCTTGCCCAGCACTGCCAGCCCTGCAGAGGGTAATGAAACACCTAGGTTTGAAGGCCGGTTCTGCTGCTCACTAGCACTCTGGCCTTAGCCAACTTGTCCAACTCTGCTGGCCCTTGATTTTTCCCTTTCATCTAGGGATGTTTCTTGTGCCCTATGATTAAATGAGCTAGTGCTTGAATGGAAAATATTTTCAGGCCAGAGTAAGGGCCCAATAAATGTTAGCAATTCATAAATAGGCCCCTTTCCAAGGCCTCTTGGAAAATCCTAACCCTCGGGTCATTCCTGAGGTTTGGCCTTCAGATGTCTAACTCCTCTGGAAGAAGGTAAGGGTGGAGTGCTGGCCTGGCTGACCAAGCCAGCTGTAGGTGAGCCACAGCTAGGTCAGGAAGCCTGGAAGGGAGCAGGCAGAGAACACCTCAGAGAAAGCAAAACCTTTGCTTAGTCACCAAGGAAAATTTTTGTCCTGACCAAGAATGATGGATTATCCAGATTTAGGCATGGGAAGAAGTCTAGATGGGGTAGAGATACACAACAGGAAGGCAGCATGCTCTCCACTAAGAGAAAATGTTCCAACCAGTATTAACATCACCTCCTCCCCTGCCCTTGGCCCAAAGGCAAGATTGAATTTGTTTTGTTTTTTCACAGAAAGGACAGAGGCAATGGCCCTCCTGCTGCTGCAGTGTGAGGGAGCCCCACAGCTCCTCTTTCCTGTCCCAGAATAGAGTGGGTGGGAAGAGCCTAATAATCTGGACCATTCATCCCCATCTCACACATGTTTATGACCCTGGGATTGGCATGGCTGACACTAAGCACTGACTCCTTCCTCAAGCACAAAGCAACGGGCTTTCTGTGAATTATCACCATCTTTACAACAACTCTTGACACAATGTTATTATTAGTCCCATCTTCTAGTATAGGCTCAGAAACTCAGAGAGGTAAAGTCACCATCCCTGGTCACACAGGGTGGATCTGGGATTTAGTCCAGGCCATCTGGCTTCAGGCAGCATATTCTCCATCTCCCCGCCCCCTCCCCACCCCCAGCACCAAACAGCCTCTTTGTCTTCTGCTGGGAAACCGATGCCTGAAGAGACACAATCCCTGACACCCAGCAGGCCAGACTGGTGCTCCTGCCACATGTTCCTTTAGCATCTGTGGGTACCAGGCTCCAGAAAGCCAGTCCCTGGGCCTTCTGCTTCTGTTTATCACAGGCAAAAGCTAGCTCTTTCTCAGAGCCTGTATCTGGACAATGGGGATAACAGTAGTACTGTCTCACAGGGCGATTGAGAAAATGAAGAAGGTATGTCCAGAATGGACCTGGCAGGGTTTGGAGAAAGGCTGGGTGCTTCTCTGGGTTTCCATGGTAACAGCCTCCCCTGTTACTGGCTCTGCCTGCTGCCTGAGAGAGCGGAGGAGGGTGGTAAGGTAGGAGAGAGGGTGAGGGCTCTCTTCTCTTTTTCTTCCTCACCAACCAGCGTGTGGCCCAAACTTAGGGGCTGGGTCATGTAGTGAGTCCTTCCAGGCAGAATATAACCTGGGCACATAGCAGTTGTCTCCCAGCATCCTCAAGATCTACACAGTGTCTGCCAAGAGTAGGTGCTTGGTGAATTGATTCCACCTTGTTGGATGGATCGATGGACACAATTTCATTTTCTCTTCCCCAAAACATTGTATTCGGTCCTCCTTCAGGTCTTTACCAATATAGTTCCCTGTCCGCACCCTTCCCCACTTCCCAGTGCTGATGCCTCCACCGCCACAGCTCAGCTTGGAGGTCAACTTTTAAGCCAGGTGTTAGTGGCTCACGCCTGAAATTCTAACTACAAGAGGCTGTGATCTGAGGATTGTGATTTGAAGCCAGACCAAGCTGACAAATTTGAGAGACTCTTATTTTCAATTACTAGGGGTGGGGGTGGGGGGTGTGTGGTGGGTGAGAGGAAGGCCAAAAGCTGAGCTGTGGCCTAAAGCTGAGGAACAGAGCCCAGGCCCTGGGTTCAAGCACGTTTGCATGTACCTCCCCACCCCCACATGTACCTGCATGCACGTGCGCATGCACACACACACCACCATCACCACCACAAATGTACTTCAGAAGACTCCATCAAGAAAATGAAAAGACAGCAACAGACTGGGAAAAAAATTGCAGAATCATGCCGTTTTCTGCTTAAGAGGAACAGATTCTGAGAACCCCTAAGTCTGTGATTTTTCCACTACATTTGTTCTTTCACAGGAAGAAACCCGGTAGCTGAGTGGTATTTCCTGACTTGGACTTTCTCTCCATAACTGATTCAGGTAGGAAAAAAGCTCCTTGGGCCTTCCCTACCTAAGGGTTTGCCTCCCGATGCCTTCCATCAAGCTGCTGCCTTGACATAGGCTCCCCCTAGTGGCCATCAGCTTTCTGTTGGCCCTGTCCTGTAATCTGCTGAACTCAGATGCCTGCTCCACCCATGCTGGAAATGCCATTGTGGCTGCCGAGGTCCTCTGGCAGAAGGCTTACTGATGGAGTATACTGTGTTCAATGCAAACCACTATGACTTTACATTTGGCTGGATATCAGTGGCCTAGGATAGAGACATCAGACCCTGGGCAGCCTACGGTGAACAAGGGTGGGGGGAGTAGAAAGTTGGGCACCTTACAAAGGTTCTTGTTAGACACTAGTCTAGGGGGTAGGATTGTGAGAAATGTTGGCATTTTTCATTTCCCAGGACAAATCTCATTATGTCCTCTTCCCATTTTTGGGGGTGACCCAAGGGACCCCAGGTTCCCAGACCACCTTCTCATCTCTCCCTCTCCAAACCCGGAGCCTTCTTTCCTTTCTTCTCCCCATCCTTCAAACCTCCCCAGCTCCTGAGCCCATAGCTGGTGTCCTGGACCTCTAGATCCACTTTTCTCACAAGTGTTTCTGGCTGCTCACAAGTGTGACAGGCCTGGTTTCACAGGATCCACAAATCTGAACCCCCTCGTTCCTCTCAGCAGCCCTGGAAAATGGTGTCCATGGATGGCACTGTCCCCATTTTTTCAGACAAGAGTGAGGCAGGGAGGCCTGACGTGCATTGCTCAGGGTGCTCGGGCAGCAGTGTGGTCAGAGCTGCAAGGCGCAGGAACGCCCCAGCTCCTGCACTCCCTCACTTCCTCACCGGGAATTGGAGACCAAGACTCTTCTGGACGGGCCTCTGGAGGGCAATTCTGTCTCTCCCTAGCACCCCAGGTCTGGCATGGAAAGACCTGTTTCTTGCTTTTCTTTGCAACTTTCAGGTTCTTCTTCCTCCTAGCCCAACTAACTTCCCAGTCTTAGCCTAGAATCTGCTGCCCTCTTTGCTGCAGCCATTTGCTGCTCTCTGGTCACTGCCCTCACTTCAAACCCCTCTCTCCTCTCTTCCTTCTCCATGGCCCCCCTTCAGTGATCTTGTCCCTTGCCTCGGAGAGACATCCATGCTGGTGGCTTTTGTCACATGGGCAACACCGGTTTGCCTTCTGGATTCCATGTCTGAATCTCCTTAGCTTGTTCAACTGCACCCTTGGCTGCCTCCCCTCTGGACCTCTACCCTGCTCCTCCATCTTTCTATCTTCCCATCCCAGGACAGCAACTCCATCTTCCAGTCACTCAAGCTGAAAGCCTTAATCAGCTCCTCCAATCAATTCGTTCTTTCACTTTCAATCTAAGAGCAGATCCTCCCTACTGCTTCTGGCCTGGCCTGCCAATTCTCCCTCCCCGATGCTGACTTGTTTGGCCTTCCTCACCCTCTCTAGTTTCAATCAAAAAGACCTGAGAAAAACCTTAGCCATTCCTTGGCTCAAACCTCTCCTTTTCCTTCCCCCTCCCTTGTCCAGCCACAGGGATGCCCAGGCCAGTGTGCACCCAGGGCCTTGGTTTCTGCTGAAGCAGGCTTCCCCATGCCCATGTGACTGCATGCTTTCTGCAGGTCCTCCTTCCAGTGTCACCCTCTCAGAGAGCCTTGGCTAGTCACTCCCTCTCACAACTCCAACCTCACCCCTCTCCCTGTGCCCTTTCCCGCTACAGCCCTACAAGTCTGTATTCACAGACTTCCACCAGCATGAGTCTGGTACAAAACAGTTGCTCACCAAATAACTTGAATGAATGAGAAGAAATCTTCTTCTCTTAAATAGGAGGGAAGAGTCTCTAGGGGCAGATGAGGAACCCAAATGGAAGCCCTTTAATGTTCTCAACAACTTGGCAAATTAGTACAGGCTGCTGCCAGTGGCCTTCAATTTAACCCGCTCTTCCTGGTCTTAGCCATGTCTGGAAAGTACAAGGCTCTGCCTTGGAGCTTCATCAGGATGCCCACCTGTATTGAATGGACTTAGGTCCTGGGCAGGTGCCAGGCCTCTCCGTGTGCAGGGCTCAGCCATTCAGGGTCCTTCACCCTGTACCAGCCCCCCAAATCCTTAGGAGTATTTTGTTTCCCAGAGAACTATAGAATTTAGAGGTTGTCACCCATGAGCTCCATTTGCATGGGCATCCCACAAACAAAATGGTTCTTTCTTTTCAACTTTTCCACTCTGGGGCAAGTTTTTGGTTTATATATTAGAAGAGAGAGCTGGGCGCCAGTGGCTCACTCCTGTAATCCTAGCTACTCAGGAGGCTGAGATCTGAGGATCATAGTTCAAAGCCAGCCTGGGCAGGAAAGTTCAGGAGACTCTTATCTCCAATAAACCACCAGAAAACCAGAAGTGGTGCTGTGGCTTAAGTGGTAGAGCACTAGCCTTGAGCTGAAGAGCTGAAGGACAGTGCCCAGGCCCAGAGTTCAAGCCCCATGACTGACAAAAGGAAGGAAAGAAAGAAAAAAAGAAAGAAAGGAAGGAAGGAAGGAAGGAAGGAAGGAAGGAAGGAAGGAAGGAAGGAAGGACGGAAGGAAAGAAAACTTTCACAGGGGGGCAATAAGACCTCAGGTGGATGTGCATTTTGCTGCTGTTTTTTTTGTTTGTTTGATTTTTAATGATCAAGTAGTACAAAGTATGAACTCATCCAGGGAATGTGATGTGAGCTATTTTGTCTCCACAGCCCAAGGTTTGAAGTCATTGTTACCTCCAAGAATTGTGCAGTGTCATCATGAGCTACCTCTCTGTCTTTTTAAAAGTTGTTTTTTTGGGGGAGGGGCTGGGAAGGTGGCTCAGTGGTAGAGCGCTTGCCTTGCATGCCTGAGGCCCTGGGTTCAATTCCTCAGCACCACATAAGCAAAACGAAAAAAGCCGGAAGTGGCACTGTGGCTGAAGTGGTAGAGTGTTAGCCTTGAGCTGAAGAGCTGAGGGACAGCGCCCAGGTCCAGAGTTCAGGCCCCACAACCAGACCCCCGCCCCCCAGAAAAAAAAATAAAAGTTTTTTTTTTTTTTTTTTAATGTAGCCAGGTGCCAGTGGTCAGGAGGCTGAGATCTGATGATTGCTGTTCAAAGCCCAACTGGGGCAGGAAAGTCTGTGAGACTCATCTCCAGTTAATCACAGAAAAAGCCAGAAGTGGTGCTGTGGCTCAGGTGGTAGAGAGCTAGTCTTGAACAAAAAAGGAGCTCAAGGATAGCATCTAAGCCCCAGGACCAGCAAAAAAAATAAAAATAAATAAATAATATATATAATAATGTATTTTTAAACTTTCCGTAAGTAGTTGTACAAAGGAGTCTCAATTCAATATGTCAACTTATAAGTATAGTGTATCTGTATGTATGTGTGTGTGTGTGTGTGTGTGTGTGTGAGAGAGAGAGAGAGAGAGAGAGAGAGAGAGAGAATACTGGGGCTTGAATTCAGAACTTTGAACTCTTACTTGGCTTTTTCAGTTAAGGCTGACACTCTACCATTTGAACCACAGCTCTACTCTGGCATTTTGCTGGTTAGTTGGAGATAAGAATCTCATGGATTTGCCTGCCTAGGGTGGTTCCACACCAAGATCTTCAAATCTCAGCCTCCTGAGTAGCTAGAATTAGGTGTGAGCCACCAGCGTCCAGCAGTACGATGTTTCTTGATCTATGCCACCTTTCCTCATTCTCCCCCGTCTGTCCCAACCTTATCCACCCCTTCAAATTATTTGGTTTTTAGTTTTATGATGATGCATTTAAATATTATAACTATAGTCTCCCACACACTCTCAATTTGTCCGCCCTTCCTCCTTACAAAACATGTTTCTACTTCGTTTCGTTAAACTGTAAGTTAATGCTTCAAAAAGTTACACCACTGGAGTTTTCCCAAGTACTGTACACCAAACTTTATGTCTGTGTCTCTATGCATATAGACCTTTATATGTCTGTATATGTTTATAATTTAGATCTAACTTCCACATATAAGAGAAAACATGTATTCTTGTTTTTTTGGTTTTTTTTTTTTTGGTCGGCTGTGGGGCTTGAACTCTGGGCCTGGGCGCTGTCCCTCAGCTCTTCAGCTCAAGGCGAGCACTCTACCACTTGAGCTACAGTGCCACTTCCGGTTTTCTGGTGGTTTATTGGAGATAGGAGTCTCACGGTCTCTCCTGCCTGGGCTGGCTTTGAACCGTGATCCTCAGTTCTCAGCCTCCTGAGTAGCTAGGATTACAGGCGTGAGCCACCAGCACCCGGCCAAAAAACATGTATTCTTTGTGTCCCTAAGCCTGACTTATCATGAGTTTTTTTTTTCCCTAGTCCATCCATTCCCTTGCAAATGACACAATATTCTTCCTGACCAATGAGTGAAATTCCATTGCAGGAGTATACCACTGGCTCTTTGTCTTGAAGTCACAGTTCCCCAACCTTGGCACTGGTCCCTGCATCTGATTTGGCCAGGCCCAGCCTTTGCCTTACACTCAGTGCTCATCTCCTGACCTCCCAGCAGCCTCCTGTGTTTTGCAGAGTGGGGGCCAGCCCCCGCATCTCTCCAGGAACCTTCCAGGATGTCTGCCTTGCCGGAGGAACTGAATATGGCGGGAAAGTTAGGCAACATGTCCGTGGATGAGTGCTTCCAGTCTCGTAGCACCGTGCTCCAGGGGCAGCCCTTTGGGGGGATCCCCACCGTGCTGTTCCTCAATGCCATCTTGTGGGTGGTGAGTCCTGGGCACTCATTGCTCTGAGTATAGCCCCAGCTCCTTCGCTGGGGAGACCGCAGCATCCACTGTGTGCTGCTGGCTGGGGTGGGGGCAGGAGCGTGGGAGGGACGACCCCTCCCTGACAGAGGACCCTGGGGACTTCACACAGTCTCCCCTAGGGGAATGCAGGAGGCCGGCTCAATGGAAGACATATTCCACATCTCTGACCAGTTTTGCTTTCTCTGGCCCCTGCAGCTCATTGTTTTGGCTTATTCCTTCCTCCGGAAAGCCGCGTGGGACTATGGGCGCCTGGCTTTGCTGATACACAATGACAGGTAAGGAAGGCAGGGTCAGCCCCTGGCTCCCCTTGGGTGTCTCGTCAGCTGGCTCTCTGCAGAAAGGAGGATTGGAGGGCAGCCATCCCTGGGCACAATGCCACATTCTTTCCCTCTGGTCTCAGACTTTCTGGATCCCATGGCTAGACTTGTCACAGTGTGTTGTGTACCTGGCAAGCAGGGCAGTGCTGTCTTTATCCAGAGCTGCATGTCCAGCAGAGGAACTGAGGCGTGCCTGCAGCCATGGCCCAGGGAGAAGAGAGGGAGCAGGGCAGACATTTGAGGCCTTCTCTCTCCTTTTCTACCTCCCTACTGCCCTTCCTGGCTGGCAGCCTGACCTCGCTGATCTATGGGGAGCAGAGCGAGAAGTCGTCTCCCTCAGAGATTTCCTTGGAGATGGAGCGCAGGGACAAGGTGAGTACTGGGAGTGGGCTGGGCACAGAGGGATCTTGACCCTGGTGTACAGAAAAGAGCAGGGGTCAGGCAGCCAGGCTCCCTACTGAGACTTCGAGCAAATTCCTCAGCCTCCCCAGACTCTGTTGGAGATGGAGATATTAACCATCCTACGTCTAGGCTGCCAAGGAATTTGAATAATAGCTTAGATTTTTCAAAATGGACTTCTCTTTTCAAATCTCTACTGCTTCCCACAGTTCCCAGACCTGCCCTCCTCCGTGCCCCTGCCTGAGCGAAGGGCACCCCTCCATTGCACAGAGAGATTCTCGCTATCAGGCCAGGATTCCCTCAGCCCACCCCACGGAACCCCATGGTCTGCTTCTTTCCCTGTCTTGAGGAATGCAGCGCCTCCATCTCTTCATCCAGCAGCTGTGAGCACCCGTGTGCCACCGCTGGTTTGGGACCCAGGGATGGACCTAGTTGTGTCCCATAGCACTTCCTTCCAGCCCAGGGAGACAACCAGACATATGCATGTAAGACAGTAACGAGCATCCATCCGTCACTTAAAGGGGACAAGGACAGAGACAGGAGGGTGCTGCATTGTAGATGGTGGTCGGGGATGGTGTTGGGCAAATGAAGACCTGAGTGCAGGAAGGGGGAAGAGAGGAAGAGGACTTCCAGTGTCTCATCATAACCATACACTGCTGCCTGTGTCCATTGGCCTGGCACAGCGATCAGAGGGACTGATCTCCGTGTCCTCACCTCCCAGCCACCCACTCCCCAGCCTCCTTGAATGTGGTGCCCACTCCGTCACCTCACCAGCCCCAAGGCCATCAGTAGCCCCCAGCCACCAAATCCGGTGGATTTCCTCAGCCCTATCTTACCCCATCTCTCAGAGTGTCTGACCTGTAGACCATCCTTCAATCTTTTTTTTTTTACTGGTAAGAAAACTTTAGCTGGGCGCCGGTGGCTCATGCCTGTAATCCTAGCTACTTAGGAGGCTGAGATCTGAGGATCACAGTTCAAAGCCAGCCCAGGCAAAAAAGTCCGTGAGACTCTTATTTCTAATTAACCACCAGAAAACCAGAAGTGGCACTGTGGCTCAAGTGGTAGAGCACTAGCCTTGGGCTAAAGAGCTGAGTGACTGCTCGCAGGCCCAGAGTTCAAACCCACAACCAACAAAAAGAAAAGAAAAGAAAACTTGGCAGAACTTTATTGAGTAAGTGAGCAAGCAGGAAAGCAGATACAAAGCAGATATGCTGAAAGGCAGAGGCGCACTCTAACAGAGTGTGGGTACACTCAAAGGGAGGGACCCATCCTTCCCTCTCCAGTGGGGCATCCATTTGGCTCTGTGATATCTCACCTGTCTTCCACCTCTACCCTTTTCAGCCGCCGCCACACCTAGCTGGGGTCTCCCCACCTACCCTAACTCCCTTTCTCATTCTGCTCTTTCTCTCTCTCTCTCTCTCCTAGCAAAGGCATCCACACTCAAATTCCAGCTGTTACTCCTATACTGATGCTTCCAAATGTGTCCCTCCGCTAATGCTGAGGGTCTCCAGCCCCTCTTATCTGATAGCCTTGTTTTCAAACACAGGGAGTTTCAAGCTCAGGCCTGTAATCCCCACCTATTTGAGAGGCAGAAATCAGGATGAGTGTAGTTCAACGCCGCAGGGTCAAAAAGTTAACAAAGTTCCAGCTCAGTTGGGCCTGGCGGCTCACACCTGTGAGCTCAGCTCCCGAGGAGGCCACTAGTGGATTGTGGTCCAGGCAGGATCCAGACACAAAGCAAGATCTGATCCGAAAAATAATCCACAGTTCTTAAAGGGTTGGAGATATAGCTCAAGTAGTAGAGTGCTTGCCTAATAAGCAAAAGGCTCTGAGCTAAAACTTCAATGCTGAGAAAAGAACTAATAGATCACTTCATTTTCTGTGCTGGTCCTGGGACTTGAGCTCAAAGAGAGGCTGGGTGCTGTCACTGAGCTTTTTTTATTACTCAAGGCTAGCACTCTACCACTTGAGCCAGAGCTCTACTTCTGGCTTTTTGGTGGCTAATTGGAGATGAGAGTCTTGCAACTTTCCTTCCTCGGCTGCCTTTGAATCGCAATCCTCCTATCGCAGCCTCCTGGGTAGCTAGAATTACAGGTTGAGTCACCAGCACTTAGCTAAGATGGCTATATGTTATTTTTTTTATTTTTATTTTTTTATTTTTGGGTCCAGTTGTGGGGCCTGAACTCTGGGCCTGGGCGCTGTCACTCAGCTCTTCAGCTCAAGGCTAGCGCTCTACCACTTGAACCACAGTGCCACTTTCGGCTTTTTTCTTTTTGCTTATGTGGTACTAAGGAATCCAACCCAGGGCCTCATGCATACAAGGCAAGTGCTCTACCACTGAGCCACCTTCCCAGCCCAAGATGGCTATATTTTAAAAGAAGATAAATCATTATATGTGGCAGAGGCTAGAAATTCTCCTAGGCCAGCAAGGAGAGTATAAGGAGGAGAGCCCTGCAGTGGTGAGCCAACCTTCTGGAGGCCTCAGCCTGGGCTGTGATCCACAACCAGTGCCCAACCAAGTTGTGCAGACATCATTGCCCCCATGTGGCAAGGGTGGGAAGGATGGGGACCAAGAGAGGTCCAGGGCACTGACTGCTGTCAGTCAGTCTCATCAGCTAAGCTGGCTGCTCATGGCCTTTTCCTATGGTGACTGAGGAGGAAGAGAGAGAGAGTTGGAAGGGAGTATCCACCTCCAGGCTGCCATTTAGCTGCTGAGTTTTCTGAGTGGTTTATGCCATCAGAGAGACCAGGGTGGGGGACATGATGGGTCCCAGACAGGCTCTCACATCTGTGCAACTTTCATTGATTACACTTTTCTACTTCTAAACTTTGCCCTGTCATCTGTGCTAGGCCTGCATGTACTCTAGTTGGTGTCGTTACCAATGTGTTGGATATATCCACGCACCTATCATGACAAGGGGCAGAATACATCCGTAGGAAGGTGTGTCCCCCAGCTGTGTGCTCCCTTAATAAATTGTACCTTCTTCCCCCAAAGTGAGCTGTGGAGGGGCAGCAGAGCCTCCCAGCCCAGTTCTTATCCAGCAAGTCCTCCCTCCCTGTGGATGGCGCCATCATGCTATCTGCCCTCATCCCACACTCTTTCCTGGGTTTCCCGTCCTTCTTTTGGCTCCCCAGGACATGGCTGGGGAAATGGTGTTCCTGCACTGACTGGCCATTGCCACCATCAGCCAGCCAGACACGTTGCATTAGTTAACCTTTGATCATTATGAGAAAACACTTGAGAAAACCAACTTGAAGGGAGCAAGATTTATCATGGTGCATGGGTTCAGAGGTCTCTGTGTTGCTGCTGTGGGCAACAACACCTAGGCGAGGAGAGTGTGGTGGAGCCTAGCTGTTTACCACAAGGCAGCCAGGAAGTGAGGGAGGCGACAAGCTTAATCCCAGTGACTTCCTACTTCCAACCAGGTTCCACCTTTCAGTTCAGTGTGAGCTCACCATTGATGAGTCCATTGATGAAGTTGGCACCCTCTTGATATCAAATCATCTCTCAGTAGGAGCTAGCCTCCAACAGATGAGCCTCTTGAGGAAACTCTTCATGTCTCTACAGATGTAGAGGATGGGTTTTATGCTAACAGAGAACAAGGAATTTTTTTCCCCTGCCCTTGTTGTTTGCTATTAGAAAAACCCTTCACCAATCCCTGTGGTTTCTGACGTAGATCTTCCTGGTTCCTGGAAATAGAGTCATGTTATTCAATTGGGCCAATCAAGAGCCTCAGCCTTACCTGGAGTTTTGTTAAACCTTCAGAGGTTTAATACCAAGTCTGGTAGCTTTCAGAGCCATGGGCCATCACCCACCCACATTCCCTCTCCATAGCCAAGGCTGCTTTTCAGACAGCAAGAGCTGCAAGAAAGCCTTTTCAACAGGACAGGACCCTCGGGGACAAGAGCAGAAACCTGACTCAAACTCGTTATATGACAAATGGATAATTTGTGGCCCAAGTGTAGGGAAACAAGTTCTTGCTTCAGGCACAGCTAGATCCAGGAAGCCCAGCCCTCCAACAGCCCCCTTCTTTGGACTTCTTTTCCCTGAGCTGGCCTTGTTTTAAGGAAAGCTTTCTGCACATGGCACCAAAGATGGCATTATACCACCACAGGACTGGACACTGATGGCACGTGCCTTTAAAATCCTAGCTACTCAGGAGGCTGAGACCTGAGGATCAATGGTTTGAAAACGGCCCAGGTGGGAAAGTCCATGAGACTCTTGACGAACCAGCAAAAAGCCAGAAGTGGAATTTTGGCTCAAGTGGTAGAGTGCTAGCCTTGAATAACAACAACAAAAAAAAAATGCTAAGGGACAGCTTCTAGGCCCTGAGTTCAAGCAAAACAAAACAAAACAAAAAAACCTACCACAGGCTTCATGGTGTTTACTGAAGCATGAGAACTCGAGACATCATCATCCATATAAATCCCATTAAAAGAATTTTAACTGACTTCTTTGGATCAAGTTTCCACTGGTCAGCTGACCACTGGCAGCAATGCCCTGTTTGCTGGACAGAGCCCTGGACTACACACACCTGAGAGCAATGCTCCCAGAAGGAAGCTCCAAGAGACAGACGTAAAGTAGCAGGTATCTACTCAAGGTCTCTTCCATCCTTCCAGACCCATGCCCAATTCCCTGAGCCTCATTTCCTGTTTCAGGATGGCAGGATTGACCACTCACTTCTGAGGGTAATCATCTCCCTCACTGGTCACCCCAATTCCATGCAGCCCTTTAGCAGGAAGAAGGCCCCTCCTGGGCACTGCCATAGGAGCCCAAGATGACGGCAGTGCTCTGTGGGGTCTCCAGAGGCAAGCCCAGCTGGCCAGGACTGATTTACTCTTGGTTTCTCTCCTTCCCCCCAGGGCTTCTGTTCCTGGCTTTTCAACAGTTTGACCATGAAGTAAGTGCCTGCGCTCAGTCACCTGGTGGTGGGAGGATGGAGGTAGGGAGTCTCTGGAGAGATGAGCAGGGTCCCCCGGCCCAGGATGACAACCTTGAGATCTGTGCCTAGTACAGCAGAGAGTCCTTTCCTGTGTAATCACTGATGAATGTAACGTGGACTGCCCCCCTGTCTTCGGGGAAGGATGACATTTAAGGGTTGAATCATTGACTCCCGTGCGTATCAGATTAGGAAAAGAAATCCTTTCTCCTGCTCTCCCTTGGTGTCAGTGGCCAGAATCCATCATACTTCTCAACAGGAAGCAAACGAAGGGCGGACTTCCTTTCTTCACCCCCAAATTACAAAGGGGCAGCCCTGCCCACCGCCTCTGCTGGATTTCTGTGCCAGACCCAACTCCAGGACACCTCTTCTCTCCTGACTCCCACACACAAGCAGAGGCTTCGGTTGAGCTGACATTTACTGGGAGTCTATATCCTCAGTGCATGTACATGCATGTGCACACACGGAATGCTCGCATGCCTACATATACGTGCATACACAGCTCTGCTCTGCACATGCGCAGAACTGGGCATGATCCTGGTCTCCTCCTCAGTGTCTTTCCTCCAGGTCAGTTCTTTCCTGTTTGTCCTTCCTACCCCTCTCCAGTGGCCTGAGGAGGATGTCCACTCCTATTTCTATAATTAGCTTTGCTGGGAGCCTTCTACTTTCTCACAAGAACCTGCCCTCAGGAGTCATGGCTCTTCTGTTTTCCAGATCTCCTGAAGGTCCTGGGACCTTAGAGGGCACAGGGAACGCTGAGTTGGTGTTGGGAATCCTGAGCTGGGCCTAGGACAGGGGGATCCCATGGCGCCTCTAGTATTTCCTGCCACTAGTCAGTCCCTAGGGAATGAAGCAGCTCCTCTGTGTGTAAGTCAAGAATTGGTCTCTCCACTCTTAGCCACGCATGGCCAAGTAAAAGGAGACTTTCGTATTTCATGGCTTCCTCTCTGGTTTTGCTCTGTTGATTTGTTAAACGTTCCCAAGCTAGCACAGATGCACCATCACTAAGGGAGGAGTCTGCTACAACTGCAACCCCTGTCAACAGTTTCCAGGGAAGTTTATTTTTTATAAGCGTTCACTAATTTTGTAGTTTTAAATCAACCAGTACAGTATAGCGGTATATTCTTTACTGTAATGACATAACCAAGACTTGGTAATTTTAGAAGAGAAGAGGCTGGATAGTCCACTCAGCACAGCCTCAGTCTATTTTTCTATGCCAACAACATAATACCATAGACTGGGTAAGTCATAGGGGAAAGAGGTTTTGGCTCACAGACCTGGCCCAAGGGCAAAGGGAGACTACATTGAGTGATGGTCTTCTTGCCAGCGGAGGCCCAAAGCTATGCAGGACACAACCTGGCAAAAGACAGGGAGTGAGCCGGTTGCCGGTGGCTCATGCCTATAATCCTGGCTACTTAGGAGGCTGAGACTTGAGGATCAAGGTTCAAAGCCAGCCTGGGCAGGAAAGTCCATGAGACTCTTATCTCCAGTTAACCATCAGAAAACCTGAAGTGGCGCTGTGGCTCAAGTGGTAGAACGCTTGCCTTGAGCTGAAGAGCTCAGAGACAACACCCAGGCCCAGAGTTCAAGCCCCACAACCAAAAAACAAAACAAAACAAAAAGACAGGGGTTGTGCTTGTGTGTGTGTGTGTGTGTGTGTGTGTGTGTGTGTGTGTGTGTCCTGGTGCCTCTCAGAAAGCCACCAAGATTGGATCACAAGGCTCTACTTTGGTGACCCTGTCTAATCCTCGTCACCTCTTAAAGGCCCAGCCTCTAAAAACCACAGTCAGATTAACCTTCCACCTTCTTTATGATGGGAACCCATTCCATTGTGAGTTTTGCAGGGGATTGAAGCCATACCAGTCACCAGCACAACAAAACACGATCATACACATACACGATTGTATCCATCTTACCAAGGGTGTCATAGACATCATCCTCTCATTCCCCAAAGTGTCTCTATAGATGTATGTTGCTTTTACACTTTAAATTGAAGTTTAACACACACACACACACACACACACACACACACACACACACACACATATAAAGGTACACAAAACATACACAACTCAGTTATCACAACACAGAACCTTTGCTCCCACCCTCCAGGTCCAGAATTAGCACTTTGCCCCCAGAAACCCCCTTCTCGCTATCCCAATGCCCCCCCCTTGTCTCCACCAATAGCCACTGTTCTGACCTCTAACCTCCCTAACTATATGGCTCAGTAGCATCTATTTTTGAAATTTATATAGGAAATCATACCATATGTGCTGTTTATGCCTGGTGTATCTTTCGCTCAGCATTGTATATATAGGTTCAGCTAGGAGTCACTCCTTTTTAAAATTATATAATTACATATGCATGCATATCACACTCACTATGAAGTTATATATGTGCATATGTAAACAGTTCTTAAGTCCATCCTACCTTTCTTTGATAGACATCTAAGAGGTTTCCAGTCATGGATGTTACAGATAATGCATCTATGAGATTCTAACATGTCTCTGAATGCACATGTCATGCATTTCTGTTGGGTAGTAACCTAGCAGTAGAATTACGGTCATAGGGTGTGCATACATCCCATTTCAGTAGACAAGGCTGTCAACATGGCTGAGCAGTGTCCACCCACACGGAGCTCCCAACGTTCCACATCCTCCCTCACTAACCTTTGGCATCATCTAGCTTTCTCATTCTGGCTGGCCTGGTAGTATGGTACATGATCTCATTGTGGGTTTTAAGAATTCTTTTAGGAAGTGGAGCTGTGGCTCAAAAAAATAGTGTGCTAGCCTTGAGCAAAAGAGCAGAGATACAGTGCCCAGGCCCCAAGTTCAAACCCCATGGTCAACAAAAAAAATTCCCTATAATTTAAGGAATCCAAATGAACCGCTTTTTGAACAGGGTACACGTCAGTCTCACTTAGAGCTTCAGTAGGTGCCTGTAACCTGGCAAGCTCTGAAGTGTGCGAAGGAATGGAAGGATGGTTGGTGCCCATGGATGGAGTTCACAAGCTCTGGTTCCTCCACTTGGCACCTGGAGCCCAGCTTCCCTCTTTAATATGCCTCTGAGTTCACTGAGGTACACATCAAGCACACTTGATGCCTTGTGAAGAAGAGTAATACTTCCCTCAGAATTACAGCTGGGGGTAGGGGAGTCATCTTTCTCCTCCCCTATCCCATGGAAGCCGTGGCTGCACCTGTTCCTGAGGCATGTCCTCGTTTGTGTCTCCTCCAGGGACCAGGATCTGATTAACAAGTGTGGGGATGACGCACGCATCTACATCATGTTCCAGTACCACCTCATCCTCTTCGTGCTCATCCTCTGCATCCCCTCCCTGGGCGTCATTTTGCCCATCAACTACGCTGGAACTGTTCTGGGTAAGCAGCCCTCAGTGGGCCTTGGCCCTTGGCCACTAGACCTCAGAGGCAGCATGGTAGGCTGAACAGAGCTGGGGATGTTTATGGGGAAGAGAGGATAGATACCTGGATGGAGACCATAATGCTTTGTTCTACCTAGGATGTGGTGCATCACCGGGGCATACTACCATTCAGTCTGGAATTGTTTACTCGTATGCCTACATAGCACTGGGCCAGGTGTTTTGTGGAGGCCTTTGTAAGATTATGTGGCTTGCTACAGGGGTCCATGAACTTGACTGCTTCTATACTCACCCTGGTGGACATAGCACTGTAAATGCAGAGTTTGTCATCTAGGATTGCCTTCTACCCACATTCAGTGTTGCAGGCTAAATAGCACTGTGAGTGAGGGCCTGGTTTCAAAGACACAAAAATCATCACTCCACAACGTTTGCCCCCATCTGTTCCCCAGAAAACACTTTCATCCAAGTTAACCCATGATTCAACCTCATCTTAGGCAAATCAGGTTTGCCAACCTGATGGTGGTGTTGAGAGGTAATGTCGAGTGCCTGGTATCCAGTAGGTGCCCAGAGACTAGAGGTGCAGTTGCCTGAGAATCGCAGGACAGAGCTGCAGGGTGGCTGGACAGCTGGGTAGTTCAATGGCACCTGAGGTTCCAGGGGGACATCAGCTGTTCCTTGATCCTGTCCTCAGCCAGAAGTGGGCCTCATGTAATCAGTGTAGCACACTGAGTGTCTGGACCCCCATAGTGACAAACTCTGACTCTCGCCTTTCCAGATTCTTGTCCTGAGAATGAATATGTGGGCAGCAATAACATCGTGCAGGACCCTTAGACATACTTCACAAAACATGCCTTGAGGGCTGGGAAGGTGGCTTAGTGGTAGAGTGCTTGCCTCACATGCATGAAGCCCTGGGTTCCATTCCTCAGTACCATAGAAAAAGCAGTACAAACAGAAAAAGCCAGAAGTAGCACTGTGGCTCAAGTGGTTGAGGGCTAGCCTTGAGCAAAAGCAGCTCAGGGACAGTGCCCAGGCCCTGAGTTCAAGCCCCAGGACTGGCAAAACAATAACAAAAAAACAAAAAACTAAACATGGCTTGAACCTGCATACTAAATCATCCCATTCAAATGAGGCAGAGTCCCATTTGCTGGAATTTTGGGTTCTTGTGATTGTAACCAGAGTTTGTCATTTTTATCATTCTGGCTGGAGAGCCCATTTCCACAAGCTTTGCTGGGTTCTTGTTCTGAAATCATGTCCTAGGGCTGTCCCACAAACACTTGGTGTCATTTTACAGCCAAGAGCGTTCATCGGTGCTAGCTGGGGGTGGTTTTCTTCATTTTTTAAAAACTGTTATTGTAACAGTGATAGATAGGGGGGTTACACTGACATAGGCAGGTAATGAGTACATTTCCTATGTGCATTGTCACCCCTCCCTTCACTCTCTCCCAGTTTTTCCCTCTTGTCCCCACCCACATGTTGTACTTCATTTTCCACACAGTGTCTAGTGAGCATCACTGCTGCATTTTTTGTCCCTCCATTTCTGTGCCCTCCATTACCCTCCTAAAGACAGATAAACTAACAAAACAAAAAGAAAGGAAAACAAAAACAGCAACGAAGGAAAAAAACCCCTCTCGTTTCCATCTCCTGGAGTTCATTTCAGTGAATATTTTATATGATCAGATGCACACAGTCACTGAGCCTTTGTGTTCCTCTCCTAAGAATGGGAGGATGTCTTTTGTTGGAAGTTGAGGACAAGCTCTGGGGAGCAAGAAGGAAGGACAGCATCTTTAGAACTTGAGTGTTCCTTTAGGAAGCTTGAATCCTGGAGTACTGTCCAAGCTCAAGGTTGGAATCGTTTTTTTTTTTCTCTTTCAGATTGGAACAGTCACTTTGCTCGGACCACCATTGTCAATGTCTCCACAGAGTAGGTACCTGATCATCTTACCTCCCGTTCTACTGGCTGGGCATCAGTGGGGAGCATGAACGCCATGCAAGGACTGTTTCTCCCAGGAACCCAGGTCCTGAATGGGATGCCAGAAGTTTATTCTTTTGGTGGGGGAGGACTCAGTACCTCCATGTCCCTGTCTATCATGATGGAACTACCCCAACTGGCCACTCCCATTTTCTTAGTAGTTCCAGCTTTTGATCTCTCCCAAGAGGCAGAGACCCTTTACAAAGGAGAGATTCAAGATAGTCAATCTCTGCCTGCCACCCTTCATGGGTTCAAGTCAGCTCTCATAAAATTAAATGTATCATGAGCCTGCCCATCTTCCCCTTCTGATTCTCACAATGGAAGGTTCAAGAAATCGCATTTCCTGGCCCTGCATCTGGGTCAACCCATGATCTCTGAGGTAACTGATGTCTGCTCCCACACAGTTCAGGAGCCCAGGGGTTTATTTCTTGTTGGTGCCTAAATCAATCTGTACTGTGTACTGAGTCCCATGTGGTCATTCTATTCCCTGCAGAGGCCCACTAGGTGTCTTGGCAAGGCTTGGCTGATCTACACACAAAAGCAGTTCCCTCAATTGTGAATAGATTCACACACACACTGCCTCTGCATTCCCGCCATATGCCTTGGGGCAGGTTTACCCGAATTCTAGTCAACTCTAGTTCTAGTTCTAGGTTTACCTAAGACTCTCAGAACAGCAGACTGGGGTCATGGCATCTTTTTAGCCAATCCCTTCCCCAAGTGCTGTCAACCCTCACAGAGCCACCAGCACCTTGCCTAGACCACTAGCTGGTAGCTATTTGCTCATACCTTAATAATCCTAGCTATTCAGGAGACTTGAGTGCGAAAGGATCATGGTTTGAGGCCAGGAAAAGCCTTTGAGTTTCCATCTCAAAAAAGAAAAAAAACAACAACAAAAAGGGATAGAGGTATAGCTCAAGAGGTAGAATGCCAACCTCGCAAGCATGAGGTCCTGAGTTCAAAATCCAGTACCACAGAGGAGCATAGGGGTCTTCATGTGCATCCGTCTATACTGGCACACTCTGCTCTCTTGTCCTTGTGGATGAAGTGAGAGTCATGGAAGCACCCTGCAAGGCTGTAGGAGTCTAGGGGAAAATACTCCAGGAGCTTGGTCCCCGCCTGGTCCTGGTACAGGGAAATGCTCAGTAAGTCCTTCTCAGCTGGAGCCAGGCCCCTGACCTCCACTGCCTCCCATGCAGGGACCCCGAGAGGGGATCGGAGGACACTGATGCAGGAAGGGGAACAGGACACTGTGATGGAAAGGGAATGCATGGCCATGGTGAGGGTGGGATTGGGGGTCTGGAGAAACTCTAGAGAGGGTCTGAGGGATGGTGACGGCAGAGATGTCCAGGTGCACAGGGGTTAGGGACACTGTGCGGTGGGCACCGGGAGGCCCGCCATGCAGGGAGGCCTCACCCCACTGCTCCCCTGGCAGGAGCACGCTTCTGTGGCTGCATAGCCTCTTCGCTTTCTTATACTTCCTCGCCAACTTCATCCTCATGGCGCACCACTGCTTGGGGTTCGTGCCCAGGAAGAACCTAGAGGTGAGTGAAGCCCTGCCCCCTCCCCCAGATGGGCATTCATCCCAGCCTGGGAACAGCCCTAACTTGACCTACTCTGTGGGGTGGCCTCACCCAGGGCAGAAGCAAGCTCCGCCTCTTAGCCCAGTGGACCTCCTATCCACACGCCAAAGGACAAGCAGGGTCTGCCTCCTAAGAGGCAAGGGCCGAGCCACTCATGCCAGCCCTGCCTGGCCCTGCTTTTGCAGGTTCGGAGGTCACAGATGTACCCTACTGGTTCCATTTCTGTGACCCCCATACCCTCTGGGCAGGTTCTGAGGCAGAACTTCAGTGGCATCACACATTTGGAAGCTGATCTTAGGAAAGACCAGGTAGGGAGCAGAGACATGGTGGCCAGAAGAGAAGCAGCCAGAAGAAGGGAACATCAGGGAACAGCTTATAGGGCAGGAAGGGAGGAAATTTAACCCCAACAGAGAACACCAGGAGCTGGTGTGGAATGTGAGCTCTAGAATTTTCCCACCAGAGGAGAGTGGTAGGACTTCCTGTCCACATTAGCTGTATTTGGGGACTTTAAACCCTTACCTGTGTTTTTCTGTTTGTTTGGTTGGCTACTGGGACTTGAACTCAGGGCCTTTCTAGGCAGCTGTTCTGCTGCTGAGCCATACCACCTACCTTTTTGTTTTGCACATTTTTTATATTGTATCTCACTTTCTGCCCAGGCATGCACTTGGATCACAATGTTATTTTTCCTCTTTCTGCTGTAGCTGGGATCACAGTCATGTGCTACCACCACTCCCAGCTTCCTCCTTTGAGATGGAGTCTTGCAGACTTTTCTGTCCCAGACTGGCCTGGAACTATGATCCTCCCAATCTCAGCACCCCCCATAGCTATAGGATTACAGGCATGAGCCTCTGGAGCCATTTGCCTTTTGACCTACACATGCCTCCAAGGCCAGGGGAGAAAGCTCAGATAGACTTGCTGTTTGAGGCCCATTGAGGTCATTGTTCTGCAGAGATGAGTGCCAGCGGGCTGTAGGTATGCACCAGGAGAACCACTTTGCCACACCAGTACCTGGAGCAAGGGTGGAGACCCTCAAGCCATGAGGGCTCTGTAGGGAAGAGCAGCTGTGAAGGTGAGCATCCTTGACTCTGTCCTCAGTCACGGGCCAGAGGAGTGGGACCTGCTCTGTGAGATCATCTAGCCTGAGCGTGACTGGTAAAGTTACCTCAAGTGTTTCATCCTGCCGGACATGGAGATTCGGGCATCCCTGACTGATCCAAAAGTGACTTTTTCAGCCACCAAGACCCCTATTTCATGCAACACAATTTATAAGACTGTCTACCTTGATGGCTCAGATAAGCATTTTGTACCTACAGAATAAAACGGGAATCTTGGGGAAGAGGAGTGGGTATCTGTACCTTCTCTCCAGAGTCTTACTGTGTTAGTTTTTTGTTACTGCAACAAAATATACCAGCTAATCCATCTAAAGAGAGGAAAGATTTGTCACAGTTCTGGAGGTTTCGGTCCATGGTTAGTAGGCCTTATTGTCTTTAAACCTATGGTGAGGTTATGATGGGATCCTGCTTCTGTCTTAGCATCTGGGACATGGAGAAAGGGAAAGATGGGGGGAGGGAAGAGGGAAAGGGAAAGAGGAAGAGGAGGGATCAAGGTCCCATAGTCCCCTTGAACAACACAACCTCAGTGATCTAAGACCTCCTACTAAGCCCTGCCTCTCGAAGTTTCCACACCTTCCCAAGGCTCCTAGCATGGGCTCTTAGAGGACAGTTCAGAACCAACTTATAAGCTCACCCTCAACTCCCATGATCCATCTAATGTTCACCATGAAGCTTTACATGGGAACAGTCAGAAAAGCATTGGCAAGCAGGCATGAGCCCCTTGCTCCAATCATGGTCCTGAGGTCCTCCACCCAGGCCCAGTCTGTGACCTCCTGCCTTCCCCTCAGTGTCTGTGGCAGTGGCCACAGCCAGGGCACAGAGAATAAGAGAGGTACCATTGGCTGACCTCAGGAAGGGGATAATTGGTTTATTCACCAGGGTAGCCCTAGCCATCAGGTAGCCCAGCATTAGCAAAGGACTGCTCCCCAGGGGTTCCAGGACTCTCTGGAACTCCTGTCAAGCACAGAGTTCTCTCTCGATTTGCCTTCTCCACCTAGGTCACAAGAACCCTAATGATCACCTATGTGCCCACGGATATTCAAGACCCAGAGATTATCAGCAAGCATTTCCAGTAAGTGGCGGGGGCTGGGGGGGTGGGGAGGAGGGGGATCCAGTGTGCACTGTCCCTTCCTGAGTCCTCAGCCCTGTTAGTGGCTCTCTCTAGACTCAGCTCTGAATGAGGAGGGCCCCCACCAATGGAGCATGGCATGGTAGAGGAAGTAGTACTAGTTTTCCCTTTTCTCATGGATCCACCTACTGAGACCAGGGAGCCCCTGTCCCACAGCTGTTTGAGACACAGCACTGTGTGTGTGCATGCGTGCACATGTGTGCATGCATGCATATGTCCATACTTGGCTTGAACCCAGGACCTGGGCACTGTCCCTTAGCTTTTTCACTCAAGGCCGGCATGCTTTGCCACGTAAGCCACACCTCCACTTGTGACATTTATTTTGCTGGTTAATTGGAAATGAGTCTCATAGACTTCCTTGTCCTGGTTGACTTTGAACTGCAGTCCTCAGAGCTCTAAGCTCTGGGCCCCAGGGACACTATGCCCTGAGCTCATTCTCTCTCAGTAGCAGCCCTTTCCTAGCCTACCCCAACCCCTAATGGTTGCAGCCTGCCCCAGGCTCTGTTCTGAGCCATCCAAAAAGCATGTGCAAGTCTCAGATGAGCCAGGTTTAAGCTCTGAAGGTAGTTCAGCCTTTGGAACAGAGAATGCTCCAATCCCAAGAGTTAGGAGCCCCAGGCAGCAGAGCTCCTCAGCCCTGTGGCCTGTCATGTGGGGCGGGGTGGGAACAGCACCTCCCAGTCTCACACGCCAGCTCAGCGTCCATGTTTGTGGCTGCAGTGAGGCCTATCCAGGGTGCGTCGTCACCAGAGTCCACTTCTGCTATGACGTCAGGACCCTCATCGACTTGGATGATCAGAGGTGAGATTACAGCAGGGCCTGTCCATACTCAGGGTGAAGAGGAATGGGAGGTGGGGCTCTGCTGGCTCCTGACCAGAATATTCTCCCCCTCACCCCCCATTGCCCTTGCTGATAGGCGCCATGCCATGCGGGGTCGGCTCTACTACACTGCCAAGGCCAAGAAGAATGGGAAGATAATGATCAAGATCCACCCCTGCTCCCGTCTCTGCTTCTGCAAATGCTGGAGCTGCTTCAATGAGGTAAATAGCAGGGATTCTGGGAATGGCCAAGAAGGGCTGCCCAGCTCTAGGGCTCTGGGCTGGTTCCTTTCCTGCATCCTTGGGCCCAGGCCCCCATTCAGGCCTGCCCAGACCTCTAGCACCTTCCTCCTTACTCCTTTTCCACTATGTTCTGTGTCCCTGTAGAGTTGCTAAAACCTTTCTTGTTTTGTTATTGTTATTGTTGTTGTTGTTGTGTGTGTGTATGTATATGTGTGTTGGTACTGGCATTTGAACTCAGAGTGTGGACACTGTCTCTTAGCTTTTTTGACCACAACTCATGCTCTTCCACTTGAACCACAGCTCCACTTCGGGCTTTCTGCTGGTTAATTGGAGTTTATAAGAATTTTACACTTTCCTGCCTAAGCTGGCTTCAAACTGAGATCCTGAGATTTTAGCCCTGAGTAAATAGGATTATAGGAGTGAGCCACTGACACTCAGAGAGTATCACTTAAAACCTTTCTTGGCAGCTGAGTCAGTGGTCCACGCCTTTAATCCTAGCTACTCGGGAGGCTGAGATCTGAGGATCGAGGTTCAAAGCCATCCCCAGCGGGAAAGGGCAGGAAAGTCCATGAGACTCTTATCTCCAATAAAAAAAACCACTAGAAAACCAGAAGTGGTGTTGTGGCTCAAGCAGTAGAGTGCTTGCCTTGAGCTGAAGAGCGCAGGGACAGCGCCCTAGCCCAGAGTTCAAGCCCCAAGACTGACCAAAAAAAAAAACCCCACCTTTCTTGACTCACCCTCCAGGATATCCCAGAGAGACTTACTCTTGTCTCTCTTCCAGTCCTGGACAAATGGACCAAAGGCTTCCAGAGTGATAGCGCAGGAATAGACAAAGGCAACAGGCTCTACTTTATCCCCAACCCCTGTGACTAAAAATGGTCTCAGCACTTAAACTACTACTATAAGACGGGGCTGGATTACTAGTAGATCAGAAGAACAATGCCATACATTCTGTTGAAGCCCATCTAAGTCTTTTGGATGGCCCATTCTGCCTTCCCTGTGCCTCAGTGTCCCCAGATCAGAATTTGACAAGGTAAACTTCAGTCAGCCTTTTGCAGTTCTAGAGCTGGTAGACTGGTGCATGGACAGGGCCCTGGGATCCAGCAAGGTCTTCTTGGGGTTCTGGTCTCCCCTGCTCTGAGGGCCTCTTCTCGCCCCAGGTAGACGCGGAGCAGTATTACAGTGAGTTGGAGGAGCAACTGACAGATGAGTTCAATGCCGAGCTCAACCGTGTTCGCCTGAAGCGTCTGGACCTGATTTTTGTCACTTTCCAGGACTCCAGCATGGCAAAGCGGTGAGTGCAGGGTGGGCCTCCCCTTCTCTGGCTCCATCCTCCTTCTCATTTTAGCATGAAGGGTGGAAAGAGAGAGGGGGGAAGGAGAGAGACAGAGAGAGAGAGGGAGGGAGGGAGGGAGGGAAGGAGGGAGAGAAAGAGAGGGAGGGAGAGAGAGAGAGAGAGGAGAGAAGGAGAGAGCTTTTTCTACTTGTCAAATTCTGACTTCCTGTTCTTCCTGTTCCTCATGGGCAGCTGCCATGTTCCTAGAGCATAGCTATACCATTTCCCCAGCTGCCACGATCTAGCCTGTCTCCAGGGATGCCTAGGCTCTGGGCTCCTTATTCCATATGTCTTTGCCTCAGTGCCAAAGTGGTCAGTATGGCCTTTGACTTCCCAGTCCTCCTCTAGATCTTGCCAAGGATACTAACCATGTTTCCCTCATTGCATATGCATTATTGCGGTCACCCCACAGCTGAAAGCTGGGGGATCCAAGCTCTACTTGTCCTTTCTCCTCTTCTGATCTGTAACCCTATGGCTATAACCCCTATCTTTTAGGTCCTAGCCTCCAGCAGTTTCACCTCAAATAGAATATAAATTAGGTCCACTCTAGAATGTTCCAGAAAAATCCTTACCAGCTGGACTAAATGCATAAGAGCTTCACAATTGATCTCTGAAGGATTATAGGGTGTTTCTCTTCTGGTGGCAGTCTGATACTTTGTCCTCACCCACCTCGACCCTACAAAAAGTAGAGTAGCCTAGATTAGTTACAAACAGTGGTATATAACTTTCTAAGTCGCTTTCCCTCTCCAATTCCTTATCTGTCCAGTTTGAACCTGCCTTGTCCTGTCTGCTTCCCAGAAAAGCAGTATACCTACTTAAGATGGTATGTTCATTTCTTAAGGCATCACTACCAGGCAGAGAAGAGCTAAGGTTTAGTTTCAGTGCACAGAGGTCAAGGATGGCTTTCAATGCCAGTACCCATCGCTCTTCAAGTTTGTAAATCTGTTTAGTTGAATCCTTGTTGGCCAACCATGAGCACAGAGCCAGGCACACAGGAATTAAGGAATAATAATACCACTGGTATTAAGATGAGGCTGAAGTTGGCATTGATGCCAGCTACAGCTGCCATTGCTACAAAGGAGGGCAGGAGTTGAGGACACCATGGCTCTGCTCTCTTCCTGAACTCCCCTTCCCTCCAGATCCTGGGTCTTAGGGTTCTCTAAGGTTTTGGGGGATTCATATAAAGCTTCCAAAATCCCCAGGAGTGGAGAGTCCTCACTAGTGGGACTGCCACAGTGGCCCTGGACCCTGGCATGCAACTCCCCTAATGTCCCCACCCCCAGACCTCTGTCTCCTCCCCTTCTCCCACCTCTGCAGCGTCCAGGCTGATTACAAGTACATCCATTGCGGTCTGCGGCCCCAGCAGTCCTCAGTGACCACCATCGTCAAATCCTACTCCTGGAGGGTCACTCATGCCCCACACCCCAAAGACATTATTTGGTAAGACTCTTCTGTCCCTCCCCTCTCCTCCAAGTTCCTCTGTGATAAAGGATGGGCCGCCTCTCTCCACATTATTGTCCAACAGAGATTCCATGGGGGCCAGCCCAGCACTGTCTGACTACAGGGCCCGCCCCCCCTCCCCCCCCCCCCCCCCCCGCCCTCAGGCTGGGCCACAGCATCTGCTTGCTTCCAGACCCACCTGCACCCTAAGCATGGAAACCACCTAATCCCTGGGGAATAGGTTTTGTTTTTGTGGGTCATGGGGCTTGAACTCTGGGCCTGGGCACTGTCCTTGAGCTTTTTTTTTTAGCTCAAGGATAGAGCTCTACCACTTAAGCCACATTGCCACTGCCTGTTTTCTGGTGATTAATTGGAGATAAGAATTTCATGGATAGCTGAGCACTGGTGGTTCACGCCTATAATCCTAGCTACTCACGAGGCTGAGATCTGAGGATTGTGGTTCAAAGCCAGTCTGGGAAACACTTATCTCCAATAAACCACCAGAAAACCAGAAGTGATGCTGTGGCTCCTGTGGCTCAAGTGGTAGAACACTTGCCTTGAACTGAAATGCTGAGGGACGGTGCCCAGCCCAAGCATCATTACCACCAAAAAAAAAAAAAAAGGTCTCATGGACTTTCCTCCCCAAGCTGGCTTCAATTATTGATCCTCAGATCAGCCTCTCAAGTAGCTAGGATTACAGGTGTAAGCCACTGGCATCCAGCTTGGGGAATTGTTTTCTGCTGTTTTGCCCCTCAGCTATGAGATAGACTTGAAGCCTTTACAAATAGTGTCACAAGAGGAAATCCCAGGACACAGACTGGGCCCAAGGGTTCACACTGGACTAAGACAGCCTGGGCCCAGAGTTGGCATTCAGGAAAGAGCAAATGGTCTCTCTGAGGGCTGAGACCCAGGGTACTAAATATGTCCCCCTCTTTGGTCCCTCCCCAGGAAACACCTGTCCATCCACCGTTTCCATTGGTGGGCCCGCTTTATTGCAATCAACACCTTCCTCTTCTTCCTCTTCTTCTTTCTCACCACGCCTGCCATCATCATCAACACCATCGACATGTACAACGTCACCCGTCCCATCGAGAAGCTGCAGGTGCTTCTTCTGCTCAGGCCAATCCTTGGGGGCCCCAGAGATCAAAGGAAGAACTCAGGCGAGGAGGGGGTAGGGGTGGGGCTAGTGGAATGGGTGACAGGACCCATAGGACACCATTCTGATGGAGGTAGAGTGGTGCCAGGGACAGGGCAGTGCTTGCTGGGCTGTAAATGGGATGGATGTGGGACATTGCCCACCTTAGGGCTGGATGGGAGAGGAAAGGGCGAGTGGAGGAAATGCAGACAGATCCTGGGGGGAGTTTGGTGGAATGGGTGGTCCAGTCACTGTGGGTTCCGAGGGCTCTGCTCCTTCAGACCAGTTGGAGGTGGGTATAAGGTAATGGTGGGTGTGAACAGCTCTCCTCACAGAGCTCCCTTTGGGCTTAATGTTCCTGGGAGGGTTGAGGGTGAGAGGAAGGAGGTTAAGTCTTAGCACAGTGCTTGCTTAGAAGTAGGACCTGCAGTTGAGTTTCCTCCTTCCCTCCCCTCTATTCACCTGTAAGAGCACTCCCTGAGGTTAGAGGACATCTTCTCACAAGGCAGGCTGAAGAGGCATGGGCCCAGGTCCCCAGTGCTGGTCTAATGAGCTAGAAGGTTCCTCCTTCCATTTACTCCCTTTCTTGTTCTCAGCACATGCATGCACACACACACACATACACACACACACACACACACACACACACACACACACACACACACACACACCACCTTTAGTTTCCTTCATCAACTACACAATAGGCCCCAGGCCACACAGCAGTTGCGTATTCTGCTGGGGACTCCATCTTCACCCCCCTCCTCTGTCTCCCCACACACAATTGTGGCAGCAGCATCTCCCTGGACCACAAGCCGTGAGTGGAGTCACAGCAGCTGGTGCTGGCAGGAGGGTGTGAAGCTGCTAAGGAAATCTCAGATTGACCCCTCCTGTGACCTCAGCATAGACACTCCTTGGGGATTCCACTTCATCTTGGCTGACTGCCTCTGCCCCTCCCTAGCCTAGTAGACTCTTGGGCAGGAAGATGCATGGGAAAGGCAGGCCTACTCTGCATGGACTGAGCTGGAGGCAGAAAGGCAAGGGGAAGGGAAGGGGGCTACAGGCAAGGGGAAATAGCTCCGTGCGCTGATATCTGTCTTGCCCTCCCTGCTCTCCTCCTACAGAGCCCAGTTGTGACCCAGTTCTTCCCCTCCCTGATGCTCTGGGCCTTCACAGTGATAATGCCTCTGATAGTCTACTTCTCTGCCTTCCTTGAGGCCCACTGGACCAGGTGAGCTTGAGGTGGGGGGCAGGGGAGGGTCTTCTCTCCTCTGGCTCTTGCTCAGCCTTTTCCCCTTCTCTAGCCCCCAACACCTGGCTCTTGTGGTTCCCTTCTGGTCTCAGGACCACAACTGCCATGGGATGGTTTTGATACCAAAAACCGACAAGTGTTTCTTTGTGGAAAAAGGCACTGGATTGTTTCTGGGTCTCTGGCCTTGGGGATATTGATTAGGGGGCCACCATCTAAGGGGAGGAAGACCCAAACCAAGCCCTTTCGGGGCTGCTCCCTCAGCCCCTGCCCCTTCCTATTGGAATTCCTGGCAGTGCCAGGGATTTGAGGCAGAAGACACAGGATGAAGACTTACTTGCAGAACATCAGGTAAGCAGCTAAGGCCATAGTAAAGGGGCCAGAATTTGATCTGACTGTTGATAGATTTGGACCCCACAGTGCCCACATTTTCAACAATCAGGTTTTCCATTTGATCGTCCTAATACTTCTATGTTTGTAACTAAGTACTTAATTTGTAACTAAGTTGGGTACAAAGTATTTTGCTATATCCTCGGTAAGTGGCACCACTGCTTTGGCCTAAAAGCTGCACGGATCTCAGAAGTTATTAGTCCCTACACGCCAAGTTCCTAATAGCCAAAAGGTTTGTACTAATAGAAATCTTTACTGGCCTGTCCTCTGGCCAAGAATAAGGTTTATATTGATGACTGGTTGTTAAAATTCTTCAGGGATTCTGGGTATTGTTACTAATGTGTCCATGATACAAAGTTGTCAAGTAGACATCATGAACAAACCTTCCATCCCTTTCCTGTGCTAGGGAAGACATCACTAGTTGACCCTACTATTCTATTCTTTCCTGCTTCTCACAGTGCACCAGAAACACTATTAGTTTCCTAGCCAAACAGAAGATGCCATTGGTACGAACTATTGAGAGTTGTCTCTCCTTTTCCCTCACCCTCTCATTGATCGACATCTTTCTTTATTTCCTCCTAGATCGAGTCAGAATGTCATCATAGTGCACAAATGCTACATCTTTCTGGTGTTCATGGTGGTCATTCTGCCCTCCATGGGACTGACAAGGTATACCTCACTCCCAATTACTGCTCCTGTCTCAGCCCAGCTCAGCCTTGACTTGAAACACATTCCTCAAATGACAGTCCTACTCATTGTGTGCACAGCTTGAGCCAAGTATCACAAACTCTTTAACATGTCATCCCTGAATTCTATCCTAGCTGAGAACGTAAGTCCTGCCCACCAGCTGATTGACAGCCCCAGGGAGAAGAATGTAGTCACTGTGAGGGAAAAATTCAGAAGAAGGAGAGAGAGCAACTGTTAGAGAAATGGAGGCTTTGAGCTGCCAGAAGGCAGAGGGTTAGGGACAAAAGTGGGCCGACATGAAGAAGGAAAAGGGCAGTGTATACTGGCAAGCTACCGTCAAGCAAGGCTCTTTTGCAGTTTGACAAGGGAGGAAAAGACAAAGAAAAACTGAACCGTAGGCCTTAATGCATTCATTGTGGTTCCTTAACTAAAGGTCAGCTTTGTTCTTCTTCCAGTTTGGATGTCTTTTTCCGCTGGCTCTTTGACATCTACTATCTAGAGCAGGCATCCATCCGGTTCCAGTGAGTACTCTCATACATATGTATATACCAGGGCCACAGAGTGGGGGTGGGGAGGGAGAAGAGGGGGAATCCTGAGTGCCACTGAGGAGGGGTGCCTTCTCCTGCTAGATAGCACCCAACCCCTCCTGGGCTGCAGGCCCCTTTGGCAATCTGGGGATGCCAGGGACTCTTGAGGACTGTTGGGAGGAGGAAGTTACCCCAAAAATGTTTCTTGTTTTTATTTTGTATTTACTAGTACTGGGGGTTGAACTCAGAGCCTGAGCACTGTCCCTTAGTAGTAGTAGTAGTTGTTTTTTTCACTCAAGGTTGGTGCTCTACTACTTGAGTTATACCTTCACCTCTGGCTTTTTAGTGGCTATTGGAGATGAGTTTCATTGGCTTTCCCGGTTGGCCTTGAACTGCCTCACATCTCAACCCACTGATTAGCTAAGAATACAGACGTGAGCCACTGGCACATAGCGTGCATCTGTTTCACAAAGGCTGTCCACCTCTCTGCTCCGAAGGGCTTCCATTGAGTGATACATCATGTGTCACTTCATGATAGGGACACCTTCTATGAACTATTGCTGCAGGTTGTGCACTCTTGTACAACCATTGTAGCATATACTTATACAAATTTAAGATATTACAGCCTCAGTAGGAGATACAGTCTTACAGGACAGTGTCACGTGTGGCTCATCAGCAACTGCAACATGACTATGCAATGCATGACTATGAAATTTTCTCTCCCTCTGTACCCATCCCTCTGCCATTTCTCTTTATCTCTCCTCTTCCCCTCTCCTCTGGCTTGCCACTGCCTTCTGCTCATCCCTCTGCCCAGGTGTGTGTTCCTGCCAGACAACGGTGCCTTCTTCATCAACTATGTGATCACGGCAGCCTTGATTGGCACAGGCATGGACCTGTTGCGCCTGGGCTCACTCTTCCTGTACAGCACCCGCCTCTTCTTTTCCAGATCGGAGCCAGAGAGAGTCCACATCAGAAAGGTGAGAGCCAGTCCTCACTTGAGCATAGCCTTCAGCCTCTCCTGGGAGGAGGAGACCAAAGAGGAAGCATGGAGGGATCCGAGGAGATGCCTCTTAGACCCCAGGATTGGCCTAGGAGAAGCCATAGAAGCAAAGCCGGGGGGACCTCGGGCTGACCCCTGACTTCTGCCCCAGGACCAGGCTGTAGACTTCCAGTATGGGCGGGAATATGCATGGATGTTGAACGTCTTCAGCGTGGTGATGGCATACAGCATCACTTGTCCAATCATTGTTCCTTTCGGTAAGTCATTTCCCAGGCCTGCTCAGGGCTGTCCATCTTCAGACCGGGAGGAGGAATTGAGCCCCTCAGCCCCAGCCCCTGCAGTACCAGGAGTTCTGGGAAAGCCTGCAGTGGGGAAGTGCCTGGGGTAAAGATAAGACACGGAGGTTGGATAGCTGCTACCACGATGTTTTATTAAATGAATGCATGAATGAATGAACTCTCCAGGCTAGCAGAACGGTTTTTAGGGGGAAGCTGTTAGCCCTAGAAGTCAACTCTGCCATTCTCCCCTGGTCTACATTTGGTTCTTGCTATACAGGGAGCCTTGAACGTGACTTCTGGTGGTGTGGGGAACAGCATAGGTCTCAGCACCTATCAGAGTTGCCACTGAATGTTTCTCCCACTTCTGGCCCCACAGGGCTGCTCTACTTGTGCATGAAGCACCTGACAGACCGCTATAACATGTATTACTCCTATGCACCCACCAAACTGAATGAGCAGATCCACATGGCCGCAGTCTACCAGGCCATCTTTGCACCACTCCTGAGTCTTTTCTGGATGCTCTTCTTCTCCATCCTACGACTAGGTGGGTACAGCTCTTAATGTCTCAATACCAACTCTGTGAGAGGACAAAAGTCCAGGGGGATTGAGCAAGATGATGCTCATCAGACTCAGCCAAGTCCTCTGGATGAACAGAGCATGTATTAGTCTTGCAGAACTTTGAGGCAAAAGAGAGGTTCCAAGTGTACGGATTTGGATTTAGATCAGAAATATTTTATTTTCTCTGGACCTTGGTGACTCACACCTATAAATCCTAGCTACTCAGAAGGTTGAGATCTGGGGCTGGGAAGGTGGCTCAGGGTAGAGCGCTTGCCTTGCATGCATGAGGCCCTGGGTTCGATTCCTCAGCACCACATAAGCAAAAAAAGAATAAAGCCGGAAGTGGCCCTGTGGCTCAAGTAGTAGAGCGCTAGCCTTGAGCTGAAGAGCTGAGGGACAGCGCCCAGGCCCAGAGTTCAGGCCCCACGACCGGACCCCCCCCCCCCCCAAAAAAAAAAAGAAGGTTGAGATCTGAGAATCACAACCAACCCAAGAAGGGAATTCTGTGAGACTCATCTCCGATTAACCACCAAAAAGCCAGACATGGAGGTGTGGCTCAAGTGGTAGAACATGAGCCTTGAGTGAAAAAAGCTAAGGGACAGCACCCAGGCTATGAGTTCAAGCCCCAGCACACACACACACATACAGATATTCCTTCATTCTAAATCTGTGGGGATAGTGGGTGAAGGAAGGGACACACAATTCCCAGTCACAGTTTTGCCTCTGTCGTCATGGCAGCTATAAGCATTCAGCTCTGTCACTTTCACAGAATCTCCATTTATTGTCACTGCCAATTTCTTAGCTTGCTCACTCTCTGCTCTTGCTTTTTGCTACCTATCAATTTTATCCTATAACGTCCTTTACTAAGGATAAAAGATGGCACATTTAGTGCTGGTGGCTCACGCCTGTAATCCTAGGTACTCAGGAGGCTGAGATCTGAGGATCGCGGTTCAAAGCCAGCCCGGGCAGGAAAGTCTGTGAGACTCTTATCTCCAATAAACCACCAGAAAATTGGAAGTGGCGCTGTGGCTCAAGTGGTAGGGCACTAGCCTTGAGCTGAAGAACTGAGGGACAGCATTCAGGCCCAGAATTCAAGCCCATGACCGACCAAAAAAAAAAAAAAAAGATGGCACATTTAGTGCTGGAGGCATGGTTCACGTGGTAGAGCACCTGCCACATGAAAGACCACATTTCTATCAAAACAGAAAAATATAAAGACCAACACTTGTTACTCACTATCTCTTTTGCTCCCAGACTCCTTCTAGGCACTTTGGGGAGGGGAGCAAAATGAGAGAGGGAGGGTGTTTTCCAAAATCCTGACCATCTACATTATAACCTTCAGTCCTGGATTTGGAGTTTTTCCCTGACTATTATATTCTGGGCAGAACGTACAGAATTGCCTTACAAACTTGTGACCATCCACATTATAACCTTGCCATTAAAGAGGCAAAATATTACCCCATGAAACAAAGGACTTGAGAATTCACCTTCCAATGCCCAGGTTAATGGAGCCTCACGGTTTGGGCTTGTGGGGAGAGAATGGGGTCAGAGACTGGGATGAGGGGAAGAAATGAATTTCCAGGGACCATCGTCACAAAGGGAACTGACAGGCCAAGGAACACGTGTTTCATGGGCACTGATGTGGATATTTAAGTCAACCAAGGTGTCAAATTGTAAACTGGTCAAATAGAATAAAGGGATTATTATCATGTCAGGTCTTTTGACTGCAGATGTTCTCCGAGGGGAGTAGGCAAAGGTCCCTCCAGTGTCCCATGCTGAGATAGTCCCCGAGACATCTGCCAATCATCTCTGCTGCCTGACCTCCACCCATGGCAGTGGTGCTTGAACTCCATGCCCACAGCCTGTTCTTCTCCTTGGCAGGTTCCGTCCACAGCATCACCTTCTTTTCCTTGTCCACACTTATGGTTTCTATCGTAATTGCCTTTTTTGGCACTTTTCTGGGACGGCTTCGGGCAGGCCATGAATATGAGGTGAGTTGCCAGCTTGCTTTTTCTTCACTGGTTCTACTGGTTCTTGATACACAACCTCTTCTGGTTTCGGCACCCAGAGGGTCTGAACTTCTCACAGATTGTGTGCATGTGTGCGTGTACATGCCTTGCACTGGCTCAGGCTGACCCCCGTGGCAAGACAGTGTCTTCTCTTTTTCTGCCCTTAGATACCACCTTCAAACAGCAGGCATGTGAGTCCAGTCCAGCCCCTGAGCGGGCAGCATTGTCCCAAGGGGCTGGAGGACTGGGAGCAAAGATGGAACCACGTGTGTGGGGGAGGGCGGTAGCTGACAATGGGACAGTGGCTTAGGGCTGGATGGACAGTCATCTTTTCACTTTCCAGAAGCCCAGCTATTGAACTGGTGTTTTTCCATGATGCCTTTGGCCCTTTGACCAAGGAATTTAATCATTGGTCCTCCTGGAGAAGAGAGCCCAGCATGTTCTCAGACATGGTGGTGATCTGCAGTGGATTAACTAACTTTTGACTCTTTATGATTATGTATTTCTTTTTCTAGTTAACTTTCTGGTTTTCTCTTGACAACAGTGAATTGTTTCCTTTAAAAAATATGAATGTAACTGGGCGCCGGTGGCCCACACCTGTAATCCTAGCTACTCAGGAGGCTGAGAGCTGAGGATCACGGTTCAAAGCCAGTCCAGACAGGAAAGTCTGTGAGACTCGTATCTCCAATAAACCACCAGAAAACAGGAAGTGGCGCTGTGGCTCAAGTGGTAGAGCTGAAGAGCCTTGAACTGAAGAGCTGAGGGACAGTACCTAGGCCCAGAGTTCAAGCCCCACGACCCACCAAAAAAAAAAAAAAAATGTACATAGAGAAAAGAAAGTTGATGAGTAGGTAGAAGAAATCTCTAGTATCTAGGGCTCTGGACACAAAAACTCCACTGCCCTCTCTACCTGGCTATCTTGCCCCATCACCTGGCTGGAGCGCCAGGCTGGTAAAAGGTCAAAATGATGACCTCCCCCCACAGACAGTGCTGGATCTGGTTGTCCAAATGTCACTGGAGAGGAGGAGGGAGGGAGCCTAGACCAGAATAGTTTGTGGCTCCTTCCAGATACAAGGAGACATCCTAGAATGAAAGATGACGGATCAAAGCAAGCTCATCTTTGAACCCCAGTTCTAACTCTTCATACTTCTTCCATGATGATCCTTGGGAACTGAGTATTCTAGAAGGGACTCCTAGTTTCCCAGCCTCCCCCTGTCCCTGTGGGGCTCTTCCCTACCAGCTGGAAATAGAGAAGGTTGAGTGCCACGGTAGGAGTCAAGAGGCTCAGATGTGGGGTCCAGACCCCTCTGGATGTGGGAGGGAGGGGACAGAGAGCAACCCCCTCCCATCCTGTGACCCACCCTCTCTCTTCCTGCTGCAGCCAGAGGCGGAGGAAACAGAGACCGTGTTTGACATGGAGCCAAGCAGCACGTCCTCCACCCCCACCTCCCTTGTGAGTCATCACCCTCACCTCCCCCAGGTCAGGAGGGCGGCCCCTGGGGGGATTGGCCCACTCCAGGGTCGCTGAGAGGCACCAGACCTTAGCTCCCACCTATAGCTCTGGGTAGGGGCGGGGGGGTGGGAGCCGGGCCCTCTGGGCTCCCTCCTCTGACCCAGGAGGACTTGGCCCAGGTCCAAATGCTGCCTTGGCCCTGGCTGAAGAGTGGGGAGAGAAGGAGAACCAACATTTACTCGTCACTCAGTAGAAGGCACTCACACAGGAGGCAGTCAGAGAGGATAAACTCCGTCACGGGGACCTCGGAGTCAGAGTCCTCAGTCGTGTAGACACAGGAGCAAGCTGGGGCTCAGCCTCGCACCCCAAGGCTGCCTCCGCAGAGCTGTGCAGAGCTGCAGGGAGCTATTAGCGGATGCACCAAATGGTAAGGCAGGGGTAGTCCTACATACACGAGTCCATCAACCCGTGAAAAGCCCAGGCCAGACCCAGTCAGCTCCTGGCAGGCTGGCCATGGGCTGCCGTGCCCACAGGGCTCTCATGGGTGGACTGAGTACTCATATCCCTGCCACAAGCGTCAGTGTAGAAGCACCAATATGTGTGCCAAGCTGAGTACCAGGTAGACTGCACATAGATGCCAGGTGTCTCAAAGGAGCACTGGACAGGGAAAGGGTTCTCAGAAGAGGGAATGTGTCATGTGACTTCAGTACTGGGAGGAAAGGTTGCCAGGATGTGCATGTAGTAAGAAACACTGGAGAAAGAATAAGGAAGAGCCTAGAGTATGGGGGAACCAAAGACAGAGAGTTTGGCTTTCTTTAGTGGTGGACAAAGCTGGGTAAAAACACATAACCAAGCTAGGCAGTGACTCACATCTGTAATCTTAGCTACTCAGGAGGCAGAAATCAAGAGAATCAGGTTCAAATGTAGCCTAGCCAAAAGAATTAGTGAGATCCTCATCTCAGTCAAATAACCAGGCATGGTGGTCTTCCCAGCTACATGGTAGTCTCATAGGAAGATCAAGGTCCCAGCTTTATCCAAAATATGTGACCCTTCCTGGAAATAAAGCAAAAGAGGGATAGGGACATGGCTCCAGTTGTAGAGTCCCTGCCAAGCAAACACAAAGCCAAGGGTTTAAATTCTACCACCAAAAAAAAATGTAAGGAAGAAGTGCTTTACAAAAGCAGAGATAAACAATAGCAGATGGACAGGCCCATGCACAGATACAAGACCTTACACAAAGGAACCAACTGTGTCTGCAAAGGGAAGGGGAGAAGAGCAAGACTCAAAATAGGAGTCTCTCCTGCTTGGGACCCTTTCAATGTGAGTGTCCTTAGGGCTGTTAAAAGTGACTTACTAGCTGAGCATTGGTGGCTCACGCCTGTAATCCTAGCTACCCGGGAGGCTGAGCTCTATGGATCACAGTTCAAAGCCAACCCAGGCAAGAAAGCCCATGAGACACTAATTAACCACCAAAAAGCTGGAAGTGGAGCTGTAGCTCAAGTGGAAGAGTACTAGCCTTGAGCATAAAAGCTCAGGGATAGTGCCCAAGCCCCAAGCTCAAGCCCCAGTATCAGCACACACTCATAAAAAAAAGGCGCACTCACTTTGGAATGAAGGTCTCCCTGGGCGCCAGCTCAATGGGGACCCAGGTCACTCTTCTTGGATTCAGCCAGACTGGAAATCGTGAATGGATAAAACACATTCTGAAGAATTAGGAATGGACTAAAGTGAGGAAACCTGCCACTAAACTTTGGTTACAGGAGCTTGTAGCCTGGGAGCAGGAGGGATGGGGGGATGCAGCTTCTGAGGAAGGAAGGACCTATGGCTTGGAGGCAGGGCATGAAGGGAGGAGAGGATGTACCCTAGGCCTTGCTCCAGATGTGACTTTGCTCTCTCCTCTCTATCCTGAGCAGCTGTACATGGCCACTGTACTGCAAGAGCCAGAGCTGAACCTGACTCCAGCCTCCTCCCCAGCCAGGCACACCTATGGCACCATGAACAGCCAGCCGGAAGAGGGACAAGAAGAGAGTGGTTTGAGGGGCTTTGCGAGGGAGCTGGACACGGCCCGGTTTCAGGAAGGGCTGGAACTGGAGGGCCAGAGCCAGTACCACTGATCAGGACTCCAGGACTCCAGTCAGCGGCCCTGGGAGCGCTTGGCATGGGGAGGAGGCAAGGGGGTGGCCTGGGCCTCTCCCCTCCCACCTGCAGACTTTGGGAACTCCTGATTGAAACATCTGCTGTCGCTATGGCCATGTGGTGACCCCACACCTACCGACCAATGAGAATGGGAGGTGCTGGGCAGTGCCTAGTGACCCCAGGATAGGGTGGAGGAGACAATCACCATGTTCTGGGAGAGGTAGCTCAAGCCCAGAACACAGGCACTGAATGCTAGGGGACTTGGGTGGGTCATGATGATGTGCATAAGGAAGAGGTGGGAAGGGGCCCATCAAAGGCTCTGTGGGGGTGGAGTGGGGAGCGTGGGGTGTCCAGGCTCCAGCTGCCCATCAAGAAGTTTCTGCTGCTCTGGGCCCTAGGCCTCTACTGACAGTCTGAGCAAGTAAAGATACGTGAGCTGAGCCTCATGGACAAGATACAGGTGACTGTCAGCAAGGGTTTCCCCACCGGGGCTCTGCACCAGAAGTCTCTGCACCAGACCCTGAGCAAGGGGTAGCTGAGTCCACAGGCCTGGGAAGAGGTGACCGAGGCCCTTCCTGTTCCTCTGCCCCTTGTCAGATGTCCCCAGGAGCAGCAGGAACAAGGTCCTCTTTACCCTCACATGGGTAGTGGTCACTTGGGCTCATTAAAGAGACCTGCATGCTTTGTGGTAAAGGAAACCATGGCTAATTCTTGCTGGTTGCTGTAAGGTGGGAGGAAGAGACAGAATTCATGGAGGAGTGGGGGCGGGGGCTCTCTTCACCAAACTGTCCATAGTGGGAAGCCAGACACACCTCCCTTATCCTTAGATATAAATGAGATTTTCCCCAAAGCCCAGGAGGTGATCACGGAGAATGTCTCCTGCCTCCCACCCATCTGAGTGCCAGAGCCCCACTGCCCAAGATGGCGGCAGCTCAGGGTCACATACCCAGGTTTCCAATGGAAGGCATGGGCCATCCCCTCTCCCCTTCCCCCGCAAGCAGGACCCCCTCACTCCTCTCAGGGTTGCCCTATCCCCTGCACTGGGACCCACCTCTGTGACCTCTCATGTGGCCCTAGCTCAGACACTGCAAAAGATGCCTCCCACAGCGCTGTCACGAGTGTGTCCCCGTGGGTGGGTGAGGCTGCTGTCCCAGGGCTGCCTCTGCCTAGAGGCTGTAGAAGCTGGGTCCTGAACAACACTGGTAACTCTTAGTGCTTCTGCCACAGCTGGGAGTAATACCAACTCCTGCCTTCTACTGCGCAGAGCCCTGGAACAGTTCCAGCTGGAGTCTCAGAACCACATGAGCCAAGTTGCCTAGAGTCTGTGAGCTCCTAAGCCTCTTGAGTTCCCCTCTCCAGCGGGGTAGGTTCCTCTGTGCTGCCTGCCTGCTACAGGTGGGCCCAGGCTCATCTGACACACTTGAGTATCTGCAGCACATCCCAGGAGGCATGTGGCTGCCCTAAATGAAGGTCACCTAGGCCCCTGCCTCTGCTCCTACCTTCATTCTAGAGGAGAAATAGGTGTGCCATGCCCCAGGGCTTAGCCCCGTGGTCCCACAGGACCCCTCCCCCTGGAATTTCATCTTTTTGTGGCCCAGTGGTCAGGGAGCTCCACCTGCCTGGCCAGATCCGCTAGCGTGGATTGTAAAGTAGAGGTGTGGGTTTGCTGCCAGAGGCTGGCAGGGCCTCACCTTTCTGGGCACTCGTGCGGCCCTGTGGATTGTGGCTGCTGGCCCCTCACCCCCACCCTCCACAGACCACATGACAGGATGGCTGGAGACTTCTACCTTGAATTTGAATCAAGTGCAGCCTCGCTTTGGGTGTGAATGTTGGGAAAATGGCAGACTATTTCTTTGCTCATTCCACAGACCTGGGGTCGCCGACACGGTCCTGCCCATCTGTCTGGGCCTCAGCCTCCAAGAGTCACTGGTGAGGGGGACAGTGATCCTCATGCACACACCACATCTGGGCCCTCTCTGGGCATGCCCCTCCCACCTGTGTTCAGCCCATTGACCTCTGCCTACCACCATCCCACGTTACCCCATGCCACAGCCATCCATCCCCCTCCTGGGGGACCCAGAATGGTCTGGAGACCTAGAGGGCTCCCCACAGCAGTTTTTGAGCAAACCCACCCCTGCCCTCCATCCCCCAGCTGCCTCTGGAAGCAAAGTGCCTATCAGCAGCATTGCGTCCTCTGGGAGTCCTGGAGGGGTTGTAGACTAATGGCTCACCACTACTAAAGGAATGTGCCAGAATGCTGAATCTTCTTGTTATCAATGCTATGACTGTGCCTTGAATAAACAAGTCCTCCCAACCTCTGCTAGCCCGTGCCTCTACGTCCACCCAGAAAGTCAGTGCTCCCAGGTCACCAGTCTGGGGCGACACGCCTCACCACATAGCTTTTGCTCCAGGGATAAAGCTACACCTTCTGGGATCTTCTCCGACCCTGATCCCAATTTATAGCCTGCTGGATAGACAGCACATGGCTGTATCCCTCTGCTGTACAGTAGTAAAAATAGTCTGTCCTTGAGCCTGTCCATAAAGCCAGAAGAGCAGCTTTGCCTTAGGCCGCTGGGCCCCCTGGGCAAATGGTGTACTCCATAAGAGGGCAACTGACTTATGCCAGTGGCTGGGTAAGTTCTGATGCAGGTATTCAGGAAGAGTGGCAGATGGGCTCAGGTCTGGGCCTGGGGGATGTGGGGGGGGGGTGCCAAGGAAGGCTGGAGGAAGAGAAAGGGTGCATCCAGACAAGGACTGGTCTTTGTAGAGGCTGTCACACTGGCAAGGAATAGAAAACAGTTCTCTGCCTCGGTTGGGCCATGGTTTCAGCCTTCCTCCAGCCAGCCAGATAACCCTAGCTGCCACCTCATCCAGATGCAGTGGGAGTTGCAGTGAGAGAACACAAGGTCCACCGGCTGCTCTGTTAGTGAACAGAGATTGGGCTACCTAGGGGGATGGTTATGGCCGGAGAGGAGAGGGACGCAAAGGATGACAAGCCCACAGCTGCCCAAGGACTTCTCTTGCTACCACCTTGCTGGGACTTCTCAGTCCATCAGTGGGTGTGGTTCAATACCCACTGTAGCACAAGCCTGGGCACAAGGCCAGGGCCCATCCTCCTGGGTCCTCTCCCCATAAGACAGTTATCTTCCAAGCCAGGTTGGGATCCTCCAGGCTGCTTCAGTGGAGATGGACTATGGAAACGACTGACTGGGCAGAGGGCCTGTGCCAGCTGCCTGCGCACAAGATGCCTCCTATTAAGGAGGACCAGAATGCTGGCCACTGGGCTGGTACCACAAGGGCATTTCAGCATCTTAACTGAGTGTCATGCTGGTACCACACCAGGCCTGAGAGGAAGCAGGAAAGCCCAGGCCAAGCCTTCAACAGGGGCTGCTTCTGGTCATCCTGCCAAAATTATCCCACTGGAAGCAGATCAGGTCTGTCCCAAGGTGCCCCCCTTGCTGGCTCAGTTGCAGGTTGGAATGCCCAGGGTGGGGGTAGGGGGAACTCATTTCCAGCAAGATACACTCCCAGGTTTGTTAAAAAAAAAAAAAAACAACATTTCTGTGACTGGTGGTGTGGCTCCAGTAGTACAGTGCCTTCCTGGGAAGTGTGAAGCCCTCAGTTCATACAGTTCCCTATTGAAGCCTTAATTGGCGGGGTTCCCATCCTAGTGGTAGGTAGGAGACTCCTCAGAGCTCTGAAATCCTCCCCATGCCCAAGACTCGCCCTGTAGGACTCAAAATTTCTAGGACGCTGTCCGATCACATCTTTCACAGAAGGCCCCAGTTGAGTGTTAGCAGGCAGGAAGAGGCGAGCAGGTGAGGCAAACAACCCTAGCCTCAAGCACCACATGCCATGGAGGGTTTAGCATCTCACCAGCCCAGGTGACCTACGCTCTAGCATAGCTTCTGTCACCACGATCCTGTTCTGCAAATAAGGATCACATGGCTTGTGTCAGAGCCACGCAGCAGGATTCGGGGGCTCTTGCTGACTTCTCCCCTCAACTCCACTCTTCGTCCTTCCTCTGCACACACAGCACCAAGCAGCAGTTCTATTCCATAGCAGCCCCTGAGGGCAATAACAAATTATGTAATGGGATGTGGGGCCAAGTGCTTTTAAAGGAAGAGTAGGCAGGATGAGGGCAGGGGAGTGACTGGAGATGGAGAAGGGACTGTTTTGCTAGATCTAAAGTCCACCGGGATCAGATGTGGGAAGAATAAGTAGGTTTGCAGGAATAAGCTGAGGGCCTGAGCATCGAGCTGGCCAAAGTGGCTGGAGCAGATGGGGCAAAGGAGAGGGACAGGCGAAGTCTAAGAAGGCAAGGAACATAATGGGGCTCCATTAGCACAATGGATTTATTGTAGCTATCTGGGAAGTTACTGGGGGATTCACAGCAGGAGTGATATGATCTGTATTTTTTTTTTTTTTTTCTGGTCAGTCGGACTTGAATTCAGGAGCTAGGCACTGTCCTTAAGCTCTTTTGCCCAAGGCTAGTGCTCTACCACTTTGAGCCACAGTGCTACTTCTGGTTTTCTGGTGGTTAATTGGAGATGAGTCTCATGGACTTTCCTGACCTTGACTGGCTTTGAACCATGATCCTCAGATCTCAGTCTCCTGAGTAGCTAGGATTACAGGTATGAGACACCAGTGTCCGGCTCAAATTTTTGTTGTTGTTCATCGTGGGTCTTGAGTTCTGGGCCTGGACCACACTGTCCCTCTGCTCTTCAGCTCAAGGTTAGTGCTCTACCACTTGAATTTTTTAAAAATTATAAAATACTGTAAACAAAAATTTACTATCTTTTAAAACTTTATGGTGCTGGGGTTGAACTTAGGTCCTCAGGCTTTCCACCTCAGCCCTGATTTTTGCAGGTGTGTGTGTGTGTGTGTGTGTGTAACTTGTACTGAAACTTGAACTCAGAGTCTTGTGCTCTCCCTTAGCTTTCTCACTCAAGGTTGGCACTCTACCACTTAAGCCACATCTCCTCTTCAAGCCTTTTGCTGTTTAGCTACAGATTAGTCTCAGCTTTTGTGTGTGTAGGCTGGTTTGGAATCAGGATCCTCAGACCTCAGCCTCCTGAATAGCTAGGATCACAAGTGTGAGTAACCAGTGCCTGGATTGCTGGTTATTTTCAAAATAGGGTTTTGCTTCCTGCCTTGATATACTGTACCCAATAAGGCTGGGTCTCATGAACTTTTCTACCAGGCTGGCTTGAATTGAAGTGTTCCCAATCTCAGCCTTCCAAGTAGCTAGGATTACAAGTAGTGTGTGGCTTTTTTTTAATGAACTTAAAAAAATTACTTTATTATTATAAAGGTGATGTACAAAGGGATTACAAGAGCTGGGTAATAAGTATGTTTCCTTTTGCACAGTGTCTTCTGTTCCCTCACTCTCTTCCAGTCCCTCCCTCTCGTCTCCACCCACAAGTTGTACTGTTCACTTTCATCTGTGCATTTTTTTTTTTTTTTTTACCATTTTTCCCTTGACTTCTGTACTAAACCATTTCAAGTGTACTGTTTGGTGGTGGTATTTGTGTGTGTGCAGCACTAGAGATTGAACCCAGGGCCTCATGGACTCTAGGCAAATGCTCTACTACTGGAGTCATGTGCCCTGCCTAGGCTGTCTAGCCATCCAAACCCTGGATTGACAAGTGGCTTCCTTGTTGGAATTAGCATGCTAAGTGTTGTAACTGACCCAAAATGCAAGAGACGCTGATGTCTCTCTCATCTACAGTTCCAAGTGGTCAGCTTTCTTCAAGCCGTGACTCAGGGCAGAGTTGCATTTGCCCTATAGTTCTATCTATCATGTTCTGTCAGCACATGGCCCTGAAGGTCACCGTGATGTCTATGCTAGGCTGATAGATGAATGACAAGAGTAGGAAGGAATAGGAAGGAGCTGGATGAAGCATTCCCCCACCTCCCATGGCTCACTGGTCAGAACTGTCCTCTGTTGCCCTAGCTGTCAGGGAGGTTGGTCTAGCTGTGTGCCCAGAGGGAGAAAAGCTGCATTTCATAGCCTGCCAGTCCATTTGAACCCTAGACTCCTTACCTATCTCCATCACCTTCCACCTCCCCAAGCCTTGGTTTCCTTTCCACCCCCTCTAGCCTTGGCCCCATGACCCTCCCTCCCTGCTCTGAGCCCCAGGTTAAGGCTCAAAAAGAGACTAGTCCAGAAGGGGTAAAGAGGCACACAGAACAACTTTATTCCTCATGAGTTAGAGAACCACAGCAAAGAGGGGGAGAGTGCAGATGGCTGGGGAAAGGGCAGGAGGCTTCCCCCCAGCACTGGCACACCAGGGGTGCTAAATATGGTAACTACACAGCTGTAGGCCCATTGCCAAGCAGAGTTGATGAGTAGAAGGGTGAGGGGACACAGGTGAAGAATTAGCCTTCCTGGAGCGGGACAGTGAGGAAGAGTCTCAGGACTCAGCTCTCTGGGGCCTTGTTGCTCCCCTTAGAAGTGCTAAATGAGGACAAGTGGTAGTTCTGCCAAAGGGAAACTACATGACTAGGGTACAGGGGAATAAGAGACCTGGAAATATGGCATGGCAGGCACAGAGCATCTTTCCCTCCCAGACTCCTGAAAGCAGAAATCCAAGACAGGGAAGCATCATAGCGCCTGAGCAGGCCAAATGGAAGGGGCGTGAAGCCTGGTCACCTTGCTCCTTCCTACATTGGCCAGGGCCTATGGGCTCAAAAGTCTCTCCATCTCAGCCCCAGGCCCTCTCGCCACCAAAGCTCTGCTCTGTCTCATGAGGCAGGAAAGGGTGCCAGAAAAGTGAATAGGCAGGCAGGGAAGAGGCCACAAGGATGAGGAAGCCCAGAGCCCTTCTGGAAGGAAAGGCCACTCCTCCTGCAGATGGAGCCCTCTCTTATCACCTCTCTAATGGTCTGGACAAGACCAAGACACAGAGAGGCCTGGGCTACAACAGACATAGACCAGTAGACAGACATGGACAGCTGCGGACAACCAAGCAGGGGTCGCTTCTTACTCGCCATCCCAGCCACGACTCATGGCCTGCACCACGGCCCCGTAAAGCTGGTTCCAGGCAGCCCGCATGGCTGGTGTGAAAGCAGGGCCCAGACACCTCTCAAGCATGTAGAGCAGGGACTCGCCCACTGTCTGCAAAGACAAGAGGCACCATCATCTCAAAGGCATTGCTCCATTGTACAGTTGAGACCATCAAGGCCAGAGCTGGTTAAGCATGCTGGGCCAGTCTTCGTTCCTGCACAGGGATCCCACCTTAATCCTTGGATAGCACACTGTCCTTTACCTTAAATCTGAAGCTGTGGAATAAATGAAGTCCTGGGCTTCATGAGA